ATAATTTTCACCGTTTTCTTTCTTCATATTCCACGCCCAATCTTTCAGGATTAGGTTTAGTTGCTCTAAACTTGTAGTTTCCAAAAGCTCGTATTTATTTGCCTTGCAGAATTCCGTATTGTTTGTAGTTTCCATATTGACGTAGGGGTTTTAACGGTATTGTACGGTACACTTTTCTCAATCGTCAGATCAATATTAGTCAAAGAACCACTTCCAAAGCGACTCATTTTCACTACATAATCTGACTAGCACTGTTTAAAAACAATATTACATTTATTGACAATAAAATCAAAAAAAAATCCTAGGCGTCGTTTTCTGATGTCCTAGGAGACAATGATTACTTGTAACTTGTAACGAAAGGTATTATGATTTTTGGTGACAACAGCTGTCAAGTTTTGCCGCGGGTGAACTGGAAAAAAATTGCTGACAGGTACTGTCATACAATTTTTCCATCTAGAAACCAGTTGTAATTCAAAATTGCGACTTTGCGATTGGTAGAAATTAAGACGAGCGAAATAGTCGTCATGAAAACCACAGAATAAGTTTCAGATGCTACATTAACACAAAAACTGGTACCACGACTTGACTTGTGTTTGAATGTTTATGGTGGCTATGTTGAAAAATGAAAATTTTTTCATATTTTAGTTTGTGATACAATCTACATTCATAAATAAAATTTCTCTGACTGGATTACAGAACGGTTACTTCAACGCTACTTTTTTTTTAGGTTCATAACTGTGTCATGCTGGCGATTTTCGATTGCACAAATGAACCCAGAATTGTGGAATGACTTGATTTTTCTTCCCCTGATACAATTATTCTGAGCAGTGACGGTTGAGGTTTTCTAGGGGTTTCCCTCGCCCAAGTGCGAATGCAGTCACCAAAAAAACATATTCCCCTAACAAATGGTAGAGAAAATGAAAATCATAGTTATCCTATTAATGATCATGTAATTTTAGATCAAATAGTTAATAAATATATTTATATAATAAAACATTGTTTTTTTCCCAATTGTTGGTAGAAGTCCCGTCTCGTATTCAAAAAGTATTTTAACCTACAAAACTGGGCATTTATAAAAGTTTCGCCGCATAGACGCCAGGCGACGCAAAATGTAAATAACAGCTGATCGCTTGACATTAATATGTTGTGAGTCACGAACGAATGTTTGCAAAATGGTTAAGTCGATTCCAATAAATACTATAAACATGAGATATAATTGAAGTGATGAAAATTTATAAAAATGTAAATTTGCTGAAGACAAAAACACCACCAGTCTTAATTGTGTCATGTTAAATAAGACAAAAATATCGTGACCTGCAATATAAATGTTATGCGTGCTTGAAACAGCTCAAAAGAAACTTAGTAGGAGATACCACATTGAAATATCACATTCTGATGAAACTCACACTGTTATGATGTTACTTTGAAGTTGAGTCATTAATTTTCAGATAATGATTGTAGAAGGAAGATAAACCAAAATATGTGTGTAAAAATAAAAATTAAAAAAAATATTACCTTGTTTTATAAAGTATCCTCCCGACAAGTATTTCAGTGCGGACCTGTATTTGATCGTGCGGTCTTGGAGCACCGGCATGCCCTCCCCTGTGAGGTCTTAAGTCACCTGATTCACGAGCCCTTTGTACTACATTAACAAAGGCACGAGGGGTTGGTTGCACTCGATTGGGAAACCGATTCGCATAAAGACTCCCCCCCCGTAAATAAGAATCATGTCCACAAGTTCAGCATTTTCGTAAACATGTGCATTTTTTATTTCGTTTAAGCCAAGCAACAAACACCACTATTCACTCACGCGTTACCGACTGACACATTGACGGAAAACAACTGAATAAAATTGTACATTGCAGTAAAAACATCGTTTCAAATTCTTTCGCTTTTTTGTTTCCGATGCGATGAACGGATAAGGCGGATTATATCCGTTGTTGCCAGACACGAGCACATAATATTATTATTGAGACAGGGCGGTACTCAAACTTCTAAAGGGCTATAACTTTGTTACTTTAATTTTACCAGAAAAATGTTAAAGGAAAAAAGCATTTCTTTTGATCAGATCTACTCACTGTTAAAATAAATGACTCAACTTCGAAGTCACCCTGTATATGTTAGGTGCTACCTAGTTTAACTATAAAATTTTGTGGGACTGAATCTTAGATAATGTCTATGTATATCGACTTGCTAGTGTTTCTAATAAGTATAGTATCACATTGTAATAACAATAAAACTCAACACTGTTTCTAGGAATCTATACTAAATTTGTACAAAAGTATATTTTTTTTAGTTATTTTACCATATTCATCTTCAAAAAGTTAAGTTTTTTGTTAAATGAACTATTTTTATTATTATGTATAGTATTTTACTGTATTTTAAATATACTATCAATCCTATGCCACTCTTGATGTTACTCCAAAATACCTAGATACACACCATTTATACAGGGTGTTTCACAACTTATCCGACAATTTTTAACCACATAAGCACTTTTACGAAAGAAGTTGATTTCTCAAAAAAAAAAATGTAATAAAAGTCCTACAGAAATCGAGATAATAAAATAATACAATCGGTGTGCGTACAAAGAGAAGCCGCTCGCGAATTTTGCCCTGCTTCTCCGTACCGTAAAACAATGTCCACTAACTCCTCATTAGAATACCCATGTGCCATTTTTATTAATAAATAACTATAACATAAACTCGCAAAATATACTAAGTGACATATAAATCCGAACAGCCAGTTTAAATGGTTTTATTTTAATAAAAGTTGGTGAATGTATTTATCTTACTGTAAATAACAAGTGAAAAAATTTTCAGCCTTATCAGTTGGACATTCCGGTTTTTATACTGCTTTTTTTTAATTCACTAACGCTCTTGAAAATGAATATTTCAGCCGCAGTAAAGAATCAACGTTGGCGGATTTTGGTTCTTGACATCCTTTACGATCGGTTACGATGCCTAGAGTACGGAGACCTGTACGATTTCGTCAACTTAGTGAGTTTGATAGGAGCCGTATAGTGGGACTTCGGGAAGCTGGACTTTCTTTTCGGGCAATTGCAGTTAGAGTGCAAAGAAGTGTAGACACTGTGGTTAGGTGTTGTCAGGCATGGCTTCGAGAAGGTCGTACGCAAAGAGCAAGGGGCACTGGATGCCGCCGTAGAACAACAGACCGTGAAGATCGCCGCCTAAGATTATTGGCCTTAAGGGACCGTTTCTCCACTACCAGGTCCATTGCAAATGAATGGTTTGCAGAACACGGAAGACCTATTGGCATGCGAAGTGTTTACCGACGAATGAGAAGTTTTGACTTGTTTTCATACCGGCCACACTGGGTCCTCCCTTTAACTCGAGAACACCGACGTAATCGCCTTGAGTGGTGCAGGCAACGGTCACTCTGGGATCAGGAATGGCACAGTATTGTCTTTAGTGACGAGTCTCGATTTTGTTTAGGCATGCACGATGGTTGTGCCAGGGTTAGAAGGCGACGTGGTGAAAGGAGGAATCCACAGTTTTTTGTTGAAAGACATGTTCATCACACTGTTGGAGTTATGGTTTGGAGTGCTATAGCTTATGGTTCCAGGTCACCTTTAATCTTCATCAGAGGTAACATCAACGCGCAGCGTTATATCCACGAAGTTCTAGAACCCCATCTTTTACCCTATCTTGACACCCTGGCAGATCCAACTTTCCAACAAGATAATGCCCGACCACATGTTGCAAGAGTCACAATAGACTTCTTTCAACATAATGATGTCACATTGTTACCATGGCCACCAAGATCTCCCGACTTATCCCCAATTGAGAACGTGTGGGATATGATGGGTAGGAGATTGCTCAATTTGCAACGTCCTCCTCAGACTCTAGAAGCACTTCGAGAGGAGTTGGTGGTTGCCTGGAATGAGATACCACAGGAGGACATTGACCACCTGATCAGAAGCATGCCTAGGCGCGTTGGAGAATGCGTAGCACATCAGGGTGGTTCCACACATTATTAAAGGTCAAAGGGATTTAAAGCAGTGCAATCATTTTGAAATTTTTATCATTTACTTATTATGCTTCATTAAGTACTTATACAAAATTTTATTAAAGTAAAACCATTTAAACTGGGTGTTCGGATTTATATGTCACTTAGTATATATTCTTATTACAAAAATCGACCGTTCCTCATTCGCATCACTAACGATACAGATTAAACCTTATTTACACGTTCGTATCGGTATGAAAAAACAAAAAATTCCTGGTATTTTGTTTTCTCAGTTTGGTACAAAATTTGCTACAATAAATTATTAATGCGACCTTTATTGTTTTTATTTTGAGAAAACAACTTCTTTCGTAGCAGTGCAATAATTGTTTTATGTTTATGTGCAAATTATAGACAGGATATATAAATGATAAAAAATTTGACAACAATTAGTAAGAATACTAATTTGCATAAAACATAAACACCACCAGTCTCATGATTTTGTTTGCTCTTGCACATATAATGAGATTATTTATCTAAATCACCTTTAGTTCTTTTGCCAAACATTGCTACGCCTCAAATTTTGTATATCTCCATTGGTATCCCTCAATACTTTATTCAAAGCTTCTTTTTTTATAACGTTCTAGTAAAATAGCAGAGCTAGCAAAGTTGTCCGATGAGCTGGCAGCGCCGCAATCTAGGTGCCAAGAAGGTCAACTGCCAAAACGTATGTTTATCCGTAACAACGGCTTCATTTAGTACGTCAAAGCGCCAGTTTTCCAATCTTCATTTGCATTTTTTAAGGGATGTGCAACGATTTCGAGAAAAATTTCACTGCGGTCACTAGAGTCTATATATATTTCAATACTTGTCTTGCGTGGCCATGTTATCTTTACTCGGGTTTTTTTTAACCAACTTTGAAGTAGTGTTAACAAACACGATACTGGAGATTATTTCCTCGAAACAAAGCAGATATAATTAGATCTCATACTTTTAAATCATAAAACTAATTTCGCGCTCAAATTTGACATGTACTTGAAGGATGGAAAAAGTAGGACCACGGTCTGATTGCCTCCGTAGTCGAACCAAAAATTTTATTTACTACCTCTGCTCAATGATGGAAACGTCGATCTTTCTCAGTTCATCTCTCATCTCTACCTTTAAACTTTTTTCGTCTGAAAAAGAGGTTATGTCATACCTGTCACTTCTGACAGCAGGGAGGAGTTAATTTTTTGTACATTTTCTGCAAATACACAATTGATGTGCAACAAAACAAACAAAAGGTCTATCAAATAACCATGAATAATTATTGATCCCACCCTAAAGACGAGCAATAATATTGTGGAAAAATGTCTGACCAACTAGAGCCACCAATCCAAGAAACTGGTCTGTATAATTTATTATAGGTGTCGACGCCTATTATTCTGATAGTATTAATTTTAGATGTTCTCTCCAACGATTCCGATGCTGAATGCTCGCAAAGTGTATGTTCAGACACCCACAGCGATAATACATCTGCTTCAGGACTTACAGAGAAAAGTACAATATCAGAGTCAACTATACATGCTCTCTCTGCTGCAGGTGAATTGGAAAATATCAACCATTCCTCTTCATTCTCAGGTCATTAATTTTTTTCATACAGCTTTGGTTTATTCACAAAGCAACAAACAAAATACGCTATTGTCCTTAGTTGATACTGAAAACCTAAATACTGTATATTCACCTCTACATTGAATCAATCATGTAGCTCTAACGATATGTCATATACATATACAAGCTTATTTGAACAATTTTCCTTTCATTATACATTCATCCATTAAACAATTTCAATATAAAACATACAGTATTTTCTAAAAAGTTATCCATTCTATTTAGTACTATGTATTTGTCATTTGGTGAAACTATCACCATAGCACTAGGCGATTATAGTCATTGAGACATCATCATCTTTTTCATCCAAGCATAAAAAAATAGATTTTATGATAATAAAAAGGCTCACATTATCTCAAAATGCTTTTGTAGGTACAGAAACGAAGACAAATTACACATCAGTGATTAATAGAAACATAATCTTACCATGGGGAGCTCAGAAAGAAAGACCTGCTCAATCAGGGCACATTGCAGATGACATTAGGCCTGGAGAATTTGTGATGAGGAGTCTATTTGCTGATTTCACTGTGTTAGCTGAAAAGAAAATTGAAAATGTCATGACAGAACCACAAGTAATCTTAAATATATGAATATTATGCAATACTTTTTATTCCTCCCATGTTATTGAAAATTTTAGTAGCTTAAATGTCCGTTAAACCTTGACTTGAACTATTGTGTAGTTATTTGTTTCAATTTTCCTTAATATGAGGGAGTTGATGCCTTACAATTTTTTTCCTGACTATAAAATACATGATATGTTAAACTGGTTGCATGATTCTACATTCGTTTTTAGGAAAAACCTCTATCCAAATCATTACAAAGAGGAGAAGATGCTCAATTTGACCAGCTGTTGAGTGCTTTTGGATCTGTGGCTGAGCACTGTTTACCTTCATTGCTTAGAGCGTTATTCTCTTGGTATGAGAGGCAGATGTCAGAAGTATCTAATCCTGAACAAAAAAAGTCTGATATAAAACAGAAGAGGTGAGTAGATTTTTATGCTTATTAGGAGAATTTTCATTTGTAGATTAAAAAAAAATGCAGATCGAATGTCAAGTCAAAACTGTCTTTGAGAGAAGTCAGGTGGAAAGACTATATCATTTTAGTTTATAGTGCCCTTTCAATATTTTTTTCAGAAACCCTCCTGAACCTTATTTCATGATAAAATTTTGCCTTGACTTCAACTTTGTGAATGTGTGTCCCTGTTTCATAATACAGACTCTAGGTATATTTGTTGTTGTTGTTGAAGATTTATTTAGCATTCATGCTACAATGTCAATTTTGTATAAAGATTTTTACATTCTTGTCTTTTAAAATTAAAATTACCTCACTATGCATTTTGATTAGTCATAAAGTGATTCTTTAATTTCACCTTAAACATTTTTAAATTCGAACTCAGTTTAGTATCATTATTCAATTTATTAAATTCAAATACTCTCTTTTGAAATATAGATTTACTAGTTATGCTACTATTACAATTTTGCAGATGAAAATCTATACTGCCTCTAGTTTCCTAGTTATGATAATGACTATTTAATCATCATTTAATAAATGATTTTTTAATTTGAATATGAAAATGAGAACTAAATACTATATGACATTTTTCACATCCAACCGCTGCAGTTTTTCTAACATAGACTTAATCCTAGCCTATTTGGTTTTATTCAAAATGATTCTCATAGCTTTATTTTGTAGAATTCGTAGTCTTGAAAATATGTATTCATTTGCTGTAAACAAGATGGTTGAACAATATAAAAAATGGGGAAGAATTATAGTGTTGTACACAATTTTTTTGGAATACATACTAAGATTATGGCAAACTCCATAGAAGTAATTCATTTTTTTCGATATGTTTGAAATAATGTATTCATAATGTTCGTGAAACAGTAGCTTACTATCCACATATATACCAAGATATCTAAATGACTCGACTACATCAATTTTTTCATCATTAATCATGAGCCTAATTGTATTGGCACCTAAATGCTTCCCTATTGACATACATTTTGTTTTATTAGTGTTTAATTTAAGTTTATTGACATTTAACCAATTCATAATTTTTTAAATATCACTATTTAACAGTTCTAAAGCAGTGTCCAAATGCTTATGTGCTTTATATATATATATATGTATATATAAGTGTTCTAAAATGTCAGAGATATCATTTATATAAATAATAAATAGTAGCGGCCATAATTTACTCCCCTATGGCACCCCTACTGATATATTTTGAACACTTGACATAATATTTCCAACTTTGTAAAATGTGTAATACTGATCCTTTAAAGCCGTAGTGACGCAATTTCATTAAAAATTGTTCCCTATCTATAGTCTTAAATGCCCTTTTGAAGTCGAAAAATATTGTTACAATATATTCTTTCTCATCTATACTTCTTCTCCAGTCTTCCACCACCATTTGGATTGCCGTTTCTGTGGAACACTTTTCTATTTTTTTATATTATATGGGATAAGTTAAATTTTCATGAATAAATATAAACAACTTTGATGATTATCAAAATAATTAATCCTATAATAGTATACAAAATATTTTTGTTTTTTTTATCAGAATCACATTACAGATTTCATAGATAATAAAGGTGGATAGAAGAGATCAACAAACTAAAAAGCAAGAGCTTTTATCAGCAACTACATGTCTAGCCAACATGATATCACATGACAAAAAAAAATAATGTGGATACTCATTTTAGGCTAAATATGAAATCTGTCAAATCAATAATTCTAAATGAAATGTCACATAACATCTTTAAAAAAAGACTGATATTAGCAGAGGAAAACAAAACTGCATTTTTGTACTGTCAATCTTTGTATTTCAAATATTGTTACTGTATTTGATAAATATTTGAAATGAAAACACATATATCGGAAAAAAACAATGTACAAATGTTCAACTGAATATTGATGGTGAAGATATTGAATTCATAGAAAATTTTAAATACCTGGGAGTTTTTGTTGACTCTCGATTAATTTTTGATATTCATTATGAAAAAGTTATAAATAAGATTAGTAGTAAAGTGGGATATTTATCGAGAGTTTCTGGATGTCTGAGTTCATATAGCAGAAAAATTATCTATAATACCATCATTCTTCCAAATTTCTTGTACTGTTCGACTATTCTATATTTAGCAAATAATTCCATTTTTGAAAGACTGCAAATTTTACAAAATAAGTGCATGAGAATAATACTAAATAAAGATAAATATACTCCAATTAGACAAATGCTTAGCAAATTAAAATGGCTCAATGTAAAAAATTTTATCAAATATCTTGTAATGATATTCATTTATAAAGTAAAAAATAATATATTTCCATCAAGTCTAACTAATTTAACATCATCAAATGTCGACCATCATTTACATAATACCAGAAATAAAGATGACTTCCATTTAATGACCAAAAAGTATAACATATGCTACAAATCTGTTTTCCATCAAGGGTTGATTGAATATAATAAATTATACTCGGAGATAAAAGACCAGAAAACTTTGACAAAATTTAAATAAAATTGAGAAATCACTTGTTAAATCTACAATTATAGGTTGCCCAGCATTTACATCATACACCATATGGCTTGAATTTACTAGTTCTAAGTTGTTTACAATTGTTCTGTTTATGTAGCCAAATGTGCTAAATAAATCTTTCTACTACTACTACTACTACTACATATACCTGGCACAGATTAAACACTTGTTTTATTGATTCTTAGTTATTTTAACAACTTCACATTTATAAGCTAAAATAAAAGTTAAGAACAATGATAATGGATATGGTAATGACCTATCCTTATTTAAAAACTTCCCAATATTGCCCTGATTCAATTGTACCATGATATAGTACCCATATTTATCAAGTGTATTAAAAACAAATTTAGTGACATGAAACAAAAATGTATCCCTTATTTTGTATTATTTGTTTTACAATATAGAAATGTTTAATGTTGTGAATTATTATGACTAGAAGATATTTTGACCATTGATTATCATGTGTTCAATATCTATAGCAAAAAAGGATGCATCAATTCCCGAAAAAATGAAAATCATATATTTTGTATATATACTCAAAATTTCCTTGATTTGTGCAAAGTGAGCCTCACTGTTCACTCTAGTTGAAAAAAGACTGATGGAAGAAGTGGATACCGAAATTCCCTCAAAATGAACATTACACTTTCCTTCATTAGATATATAACTTATATTTTGTTACATATTATCTGCATCAAAAATACAAAGCATTAAAAATTTCAGGTAAATAGCCGTATTTCGTGAGTAACCCGAATTAAGTGAACCCAGTTTCGCGAGTCAGATTTTTGAATTTTTTTCAACGCTTTAACTATAAATACCTTCACTAGTATCTGAAATTGTTTATAATAGCACTATTAACAGGGATATCACATCCTCCAGCCAAATTAACTTGTCTACTTCTTGTGGGATGCTTAAGAATTTCAGTACTCATGGCTACATACAACAAGTTTTCCTCTCAGAATTCATATTAATGGACGAAAATTAAAAATTTGGTTTTTAAGATAACTCAAAAGATAGAAAATTAGATTCAGTATAGAATTTAATAAAAAATGGCGCTTAAAACAAAAACTAACCAAGTTTTTTAAATGGCCCTAATACTGATCCTTGAGGAATACTAGATATTACTGGATCTGATTTATTTGTCTGACAATATGGATTTATTTCAGCATTATAAACATTGTGGCTGGAAATACAACTGAAACAGTGGAAAGATCGGAGGCAGACATTCAAAAGGAGAAAAGGGATTTGGCTGTTGAGTTCATATTTTGCTTAGTACTTATTGAGGTGTTGAAGCAAATGGGGCTTCATCCTGGCCATGAAGATTTAGTGCAATATATTGAAAATTTAGCCTTGAAGCATTTCAAATATCATGAAGGGTAAGTTAGATTTTGCCATACTGGTAGTTTCATTGTTTGGGCCTTTGTGCTGTTAAAATAATTCATCGTACATCAATCAGTCCGATTTTATTTTACCTCATGCCTCACGACTGTGATAGTTGAGAAATTCCAATTTAATTATCATTAGTTAGTAGTATGTTTTTAATAATCAGCACTTGACCGTTTTTTAGGATCCAAAACAGTCCCAACAGTGCCAACATTCACATGATCTCTGATCTGTATGCTGAAGTGATAGGCGTTTTGGTTCAATCTCGCTTCATGTCAGTCAGAACCCGATTCATGGCTGAACTGAAGGAACTAAGATCACGAGAATCTAATCCAAATACAACACAAAGTATCATCAGTTTATTGATGGGCATGAAATTCTTTCGTGTGAAGATGGTGCCAATTGAAGAGTTTGAGGCATCGTTTCAGTTTATGCAGGAGTGTGCACAGTATTTCCTCGAGGTTAAGGATAAGGATATCAAGCATGCTCTGGCAGGGTTGTTTGTGGAGATTCTGGTTCCTGTTGCAGCGGTAAGTAAAATTGTTTGTATTGAAGATCCTTCAAAATTTGAGGCAGGCGATATAATCTGTGAGTAGTTCAATCACCTTGGGAATTCACCTGTAGAAATTATTTATAAATTTTTATTTGAGTAAAATGTGAAAACAATACCTAACGTGTTTTTCGAATTCCCGAACAAGACATTTCTCATTCAAAAATTATAGCGCTTCTTAAATAAACAAGGATTATATCTTATAATCTCATTTTCTTATATTTTATTGCAGGCGGTGAAAAACGAAGTAAATGTCCCATGCCTCAAAAACTTTGTAGAGATGCTGTACTCTCAAACTTTAGACGCCAGCACGAAAAACAAACATCGACTAGCTCTCTTTCCATTGGTGACATGCCTTCTTTGCGTCAGTCAGAAACAGTTTTTCTTGCAGAACTGGCATTATTTCCTAGCTATGTGTTTGTCTCATTTGAAGAACAGGGACCCTAAGATGAGCCGCGTTGCTTTAGGTATGCAGTGAAACTTTTTGCTCTATAGTTTGCTTATGGATGTATCCTATTGAAAGTAACACGATCAGTAGATTTTACAAGGAAATAGGTCAACATTGGATTTGTAAATGGGATGCCTTATCTTTATTTTTTGGATTCTTAGAGATCTGAATTAAAATGAAATGAAATGAAATGAAATGAAATGTTTATTATTCTTAGCCCTAAAGCTACTTCCTATAGTTTATAATAGTGTCTTACTCCCATAATAAACAAAAAGACAGTAATTCTAGATTCCCTTAAAATCATAGTAACTGCAACCACAGTAAATGCAACAATAGCAAATGCGAGATAATGACATACAGTTATCTTAACACAGAAAGTACATATATTATGCCATTTTATCTAAATACAATTGCTTAACCTTACGAATAAATATATTTACAGACGTCGCTTCTCTAATTTCTGTAGGTAATGCATTAAAAAGTCTCAAACCATCACTAAAAAGACATTTTTGCATATGGGATGTTCTAGAGCATTCTATGTCAAAAGTGTTACGTGACCTGATATTATATGCATGCCTCTCGGACCTCGGTATTAGATATTCCTGCAAGTATTCAGGCAATAAATGATTTTTTGTTTTAAAAATAAATAAGACATTTGACATTTCAACCTTTTGCTGTATTGAAAGCCATCCGAGGGTTTTTAACATTAAATTAATAGGCGTATAACGTGTACAAAATAATATAGTGCGCATAGCCTTATTTTGTAGTAACTGGAGCCTTTGAATATCAGTTTTTTTGCATGATAGCAACAATGAAAAACAATAATTAAAATGTGGATATATGATGGTATTATATACAAGAAGACGACTCCAGTGACTAAGACTTTCAGATATTCGCCTAAAAAATCCTATTTTTTTCCCAATTTTTTTACTAACATAATCAACATGCAATGAAAAATTTAGCTGAGGATCTAAAACTACGCCCAAATACTTCATACTAGATGCACTTTCAATTTGAATATTATCTATCTCAATACAAAATTTCTTTTCTAAAAATGTATTACAGTTCTGCTTTGTCCCAAAAACCATGTATTTTGTTTTTTCTACATTCAACTTAAGCCTATTCACACATAACCAGTTATACAGAATTTCCAGTATTGAGTTCATACTATCTACAACTTGTCTAAAATCCTTACCGTACACATAAAGTAATGTATCGTCTGCAAATAAGCTCAGAAATGTATTTACTAAAACCCTGTTCAAGTCATTTATATAAAGTAGGAACAAAAGCGGGCCCAACACACTACCCTGAGGTATCCCAATTTCACTATCAATTGAATTTGACGCCACGTTATTAATCTTCGTCACATGACAACGGTCTTTCAAGTAGTTCATAAACCATTTTAGTGCACTGTCTGTAATCCCATAGGTCTGCAATTTCTGGATCAGTCTTTTCCTATCAATAGTCTCAAATGCACGTTGAAGGTCGATGAATACACTTAACACAATATTCCCGTCATGAATGTATGAACGCCATTTCGAACACACATACTGCAGCGCCGACTCGCACGAGTGTTTTTCCCGAAATCCCGACTGTCCCTTAAACAACAGTTTTCTTGCCTCCAGAAACTCCCGTAACTGCGCACAAACCTAGGTTTCCAAGATTTTGTCTATCACTGGTAACAAGTTAATGGGTCGGTATTGTGCTGGTTTATTTGGTGAGGACACTTTTGGAATAGGCACTATAACACTAGTTTTTATTGCTTTTGGAACTTTTCCTGTTGTAAGGGATGCATTGATCAAGTGAAGTAAAGGGTATCCGAGTACACAAAAAGCCGTTTTCAAAAACTTAAAAGTTGATCAATGCTTATAGTGTTGAAGCTTGACAGACCATCACTTAACTGTGGCAATTCTTGAAATGTCGGTGCAACTTTTGGTATTTTGTCGGCTATTTCCTTTATGCTTTTTGCATAAAAATTGTTAAAATTGTCTTGAACAGATCCAGCATCTTCCTCAAATTCAATATTATCATATGACAGAACATTCTTGTTTTTGCTGCCTACAACTTGCTTTAAAGTTTGCCACATTTTTTTGCTATCCCCCTTGCATTGGTCAATAGTAATTTCATAATATTTTTTCTTTTCGTTTCGAATAACACGAGCGTAAATGTTCCTTTTTTTCTTATACAGATTCCAGTCTGAATTTAATTTGGTTATTTTAAACTTTTTATAAGCTTCGTCCCTGTCTCTTCGGGCTTGGATTACGAACCTATTAATCAACGGTTGTTTGCGGGTTTGAGTTTTTTCAAGAGGTACAACTTTATTTACAGTTTCTGTAATATTTTTCATAAACTTTTCATATAATAGGTCCACATCTGTTGTTGAATAGTCCCAATCTTTTCCGTAGAGTTCAGCTATAATAGTGTTAATATTTTCCTTATTAAATTTTCGTTTATATTTCATTTCCTCTGTTTTAATCTCATGTTGCACATCCAATACGCAGCCTATAATTCGATGATCTGAAATTTGTGGAAAATCACCCGTGATTTCTTCAAGCAAGTAATTGTTAGTCACAATTAAATCAATCAGGGTGGCTGACGTATTTGTCACTCTAGTGAACTCTTGAACTATTTGTGTAAATCCTGCATCTGATACGATGTTTATTAATTTTTTTTGGCTTGGGTTCTCGGTCTCTAAGCGAATATTAAAATCTCCCAAAAAAATACTTTGATGAGTTGTAATCAAATCATCTTCCAGTAATTCCTCAAAAAATTGGAAAAATAAGTCCATGCTACCGTTCGGAGATCTATACAGTGATCCAACAATTATATTTTCCAATAATAGTTGAACATTTAAGCATAAGAACCAAAAATGGCCGTGACGTACGACATTCTTTACAACTGTAGAAGTAACATTGTTTTTTACATAAATTATCGTTCCCCCTGTATGACAACTTTCAGCATGGGCAATGTAGTGACTATAGCCATTAATATTCAGTTCGCTATCCTCAAAATCCTCCGTAATATGGGTTTCATTAACACATAATATAAGAGGATTCTTATCCAGTACCAGCTGTTTCAATTCATCAACTTTTCGTCTTAGTACATTTATGGACAAACAAAAATTTCTTGGACATACGTTGATTGCTATTCATATTTTGTTTTAAGCCCAGTCTTTTCTACTTGCCGAAGATATGAAGTACAATTTCGATCAAAAACAGTATGATTATATTCTATATTTTTTATCTTTAAGACATTGCTAATATATTCACAGTTGCTACAACGTTTATTACTGCTTGTACATTGATCTGCCTTATGATTGCCGGCGCATAGTGGACATGTAAATTGCTCTTGTTTGCAGAGATTTGCCATATGCCCGTATTTCCAGCATTTAAAGCATCTCAAAACGCTAACAAATTCATACAATAGAAAACTATCCCATCCAAAGCGTAATTTCTTTTGAGCAATAAAGTAATTAAATGCCTCATTTGATACCTCTAATAGCACATTAAAATGTTCCTTCCTACGAGGCTTATATTTCCTAACAAACGTTATTTCGCTTGTACCACACATGTCTTTCAATTTGTTTATAAATATATAAATCTCCCTCAGGTATTTATCATAAACACCAACAATAACAATTTTTGGTTTTTTAAACTCTGGTATCTGAATTTCGTACCGATCTGCTAGCGCGTTCCGGGCAGCCTCGTGTAGTTTTTGCATCGACTCGTCGTTTTCACATTCTATCTGAATCCCACCGTTAGCTGTATTTCTGACTCCGGCTATATTTATTTGAGATGGATCGACTTTGTTGGTCACATCTAACTTGGTTTTCACGCTGTTCTGTGACGAATTTTTTGGTTTAATTATCAAAGGCGGTCGTTTGGCTTTTACTACGTCACTCCACTTCTGCACGCTGGCATTGGGTGCTCTATCGTATAATGTTTTAACGACGCTGAAACACTCCTTGGTTTGTTCTAACACATCGTTGGTTTTTTGTTCAAGACTGTCCAATCTCCTCGATATTTTTAGGTTTTGTATAGCAATATTACTACAGTCATTACAGAACCAAAACAAATTCATACAATCGGCAATACACTTACTGACATTATCTTTTACTTTAACACACACATTATGGAAAACTTTTTCACATAACTTACACTGAATTTGTTTACTGTTTACTATAAAATTATCCGTGCACACGGAACACGTCCGCACACCACTCATGCTGACTACTACTTGCTATGGCCACTTTACAAAAAATTGTAAGGTCGAAAATCGATACACTTTTTTGATATTATATGATACGTATTCTCTCGAAAAAGCTTGTCACTTATTTCTGTCTGCTTATTGTTGTTATCTTTTCGAAAAATTTTGACGTTTCTATAGCTAGGAATATACCCATCGGATTTTGATGAAATTTGAATAGGTTACTTCTGTGCCAAGAGCGGAAAACATTATGGTTTTCAAGAATCTGGTAAAACCTAGGATGTTTTTCAGACATGTTGTTCACATAACGGCTCTGTCTACTTGACGTTTGACGGATTCGGCAGAATTGTATGTCACTTTCCGATATGGATATTTTGAAATATTACTAGATAAGCAGCTCTTATTCTACCATAATGGAATCTGCCCCAAGTAAGAACCTGTTGAAAAAGTGGATTAAGAGGTTCTGTGAAATAGACTCTACTTTTAGTTAACCCTTTCCTGGCCCAGTACCTACTGCATCAACCGCTGCTTTGGGAATCCCTAGGTCAACACTGTATGGAATCATGAAGAAAAAAATGGGTTTTCATCCTTATAAAATCCAACCAGTCCATGCTTTAAAGGAAAGTGTGATTACGTATACTATGCAAATCTTGACTGCGGTATTATTGGGCCTTATTTCTTTGAAGATGAAAACGGTCTTGCTTTGACAGTCAATTCGGGGCGATACAAGTACATGATTGACACTATTTTTGCTTCTATTTTAAGAACAGAACGTCGATTTAACATAAAAATACGGTTTCATCTGAATGGGTCCACTGCCCATACTTCCAGAGAATCGATGGACGCGGTAAAAGTACTTTTTTCTCAAAAAGTTATATTGAAGTGCGTTCGAAGGGATGGCAAATATTTGGACGGAATGATATTTAAAAAATAAAACCTGCCGAATTTACGAATGCGTTGATAGTAATACATATTTTATTTTCGTTAAGTTTGTATTTTTTTTTCTTAAATCAAAAAGTGAACTTTCCCACTGGACACTCTGCAGTAGGGAGCCTAGCTTTAACACCATTGGTTGAGAGTAAATTTTCTTCATGAAATTGTTTGTTTGTTTAAGATTTATTTAGCATGATTGCTACAATTACATTCTTTAAAAAAACTAAACAATTACATAACATTCAGATATTTATTAAAAACAAAATTTGCATCTCTAGGAATTTTCAAGGTCCATGAAATGTTCCTTTAATTTTCTGTTAAACATCTTTAAATGACCAGCAGACTTTACGTCATTATTGAGTTTATTAAATTCAATTAATCCTTTCCGGAATAACAAAACTTGAAAATAGGGTATCCTATTCAAAAATCCATATTTGAGGCTGTTTCCTGTGAATCACAAAGCTCGTCACTTATATGACTCATGACATCAAAGCTGATTATCATTGCAGAATCGCTGTACCGCTTACTATGGGTATACATGATCCGCATCAAATGCGAGAGTAACTCTGCAACGCAGTCCCGCCTCCAGAGCATCGTCAACTCGTTGTTCCCTAAGGGATCGAAGGGCGTGGTGCCACGGGACACGCCCCTAAACATATTTGTCAAGATCATCCAGTTCATCGCGCAGGAGCGGCTGGACTTCGCCATGCGCGAGATCGTATTCGATTTGCTGTCCGTGGCCAGGCCGGTGAAGGTCATTTTGACGCCGGAGAGGATGAGTATTGGGCTGAGGGCGTTCCTCGTCGTGGCGGATAGTTTGCAGCAGAAGGAGGGGGATCCGCCCATGCCTAGATCGGTGAGCAGAAATTAGGATAGATAACCCGAGCGATACGTATTTCTGCTTGTTGCCGTCATCTGGACCGAAATGAATGCACAAGTGCAACTACAAAACTAGATACACGTGTCCATACATCCAGATACGAATGTAACTTCATGTGTCATTTTCTTCCCTCTCCATCTTCGTTATAAAACTGAATATTTGCATGCAAATTTTCAAAATACGTGCGTTAATAGTTGTGACATTGCTCATAGTGAAGGATACTTAATTCTGTGGCCTAGTGACAATACCACGTTTCATGAAAATTCTAAAAATTGATTATTTGGTATCTGTGGATCCACCTATCGCTAAAAGCTGCTACACACAGTGCCGCCAAGCCGCCGGCACAAGCCGCGCAAAGCCGCCAAGCATCATTCCGGTTGTGACAGTCGCATAGAACGCTAGTGAAGTACATATTTTATGGTTGGTTGGTTAAAATGAATAAGGAAATCATCAGCACAGCCGCCGCAGTTGTAATTTTTATTTTAATAAGAAAAAAATACAAAAGGACGAGAAGGTTTTGGTTGCACCCAAGTTTACGAAATAGAAAATGGCGGAACGGTACTGTAATGATAGAAGAGTATAAAAAAGATGATGTGGGGTGTCAGCGTTTGCGCAATAGCATGTTTTTTGGGTTTCTGTACATCGTCTATGCCTGCACCAGATTTGTGCAACTGTTCGAACTTCTTTTTTTCCCGAAAATAATGAGAGGTTAAATTTTTTAACTTTCTCTCTACTTCGCCTTTATCAATCTAAAATACACTTGCAATTATGTTCAATGCGTCCATTTGTTTGTTCCTATTCTTATAGTCTGCATTTCTGGGATTCCATAATATATCATTTTCATGAAATTTTTCAATTAAGAGCACCACAGCTTCGTCGTCCCAATTAAACGACATTTTAATTTGTTTAAACACACAAACCGGCAAGCCGCGTAACCCGCCGGCACTGCCGCCGGCGTCACTTCGTTCCTGGCATTCGAGCGGTAGTGTTGTGCGGTTTGTGTGTTTAAACAAATTAAAATGTCGTTTAATTAGGACGACGAAGCTGTGCTGCTCTTAATTGAAAAATTTCATGAAAATGATATATTATGGAATCCCAGAAATGCAGACTATAAGAATAGGAACAAACGAATGGACGCATTGAACATAATTGCAAGTGTATTTGACATTGATAAAGGCGAAGTAGAAAGTTAAAAAATTTAACCTCTCATTATTTTCGGGACAAAAAGAAGTTGCACAAATCTGGTGCAGGCATAGACGATGTACAGAAACCCAAAAAACATGCTATTGCGCAAAGGCTGACACCCCACATCATCTTTTTTATACTCTTCTATCATTAGAGTACCGTTCCGCCATTTTCTATTTCGTAAACTTGGGTGCAACCAAAACCTTCTCGTCCTTTTGTATTTTTTTCTTATTAAAATAAAAATTACAACTGCGGCGGCTCTGCTGATGATTTCCTTATTCATTTTAACCAACCAGCCATAAAATATGCACTTCACTGGCGTTCTATGTGACTGTCACAACCGGAATGATGCTTGGCGGCTTTGCGCGGCTTGTATTGCCGACGGCATAGCCGCTCGGCATAAACCCGGCGGCATCGCCGCCGGCACTGTGTGTAGTAGCTTTAAGCTATCAAGTTAAACGATCAGCAACAGTGTAAGCTCATAGCACCCTTTCTTGCCCGACTATCTAGATAATAACAGATATCAAACATCACTAATGCTATATCAGGTAGCATCAATGCTCTGTTCAGTTTCCCAGATTCAAGTTTCTCTATTTCTAGTCGTTTTGGTCTATGTATAGTATTTTGCCCCATATTACAAAAATGTTTTTTCGCGTTTCCTGAAAAAGTAGCAAGATGCCACGGGACCATGGTTATACACATTGCAAAAAACGTTTATTTGTTTTTAGGTGGGAGTGATGCCAAGCGGCAACACCCTGCGTGTCCGCAAGACCTTCCTGAACAAAATGCTGACCGAGGACACCGCCAGGACCATAGGGATGAACGCGTATTTTCCACACGTGCGACGGGTATTCGTCGACATTTTGCGGGCGCTGGACACCCAGTATGGTAGGCCGCTCATGATGACCAACACTCAAAACGTGAATAAGGAGCCTGACGAGATGATCACAGGAGAGAGGAAGCCTAGGATCGAGTTGTTCAGGACCTGTGTTGCAGCTGTGCCCAGGTAATTTCTAGGGATCGACTGGAGCTTCGGCATCGGCTTCAGCTTCGCCTACATTTCAGCAAAAAAGCTTACAAAGATCTGTGCCCACAACAGATTTTTGCAAAAGTACTGCTGACTGGGAGAGTGAAAATGAACATAATCTTGGTCAGCGAATTTAGGAATAAGTGAAATATTATTCAAAAGGTGCAAATACGAATATGGACCTTAAGTCCATTCTTCTCAGTTGCAACCAACGAATTCAGACTACTAGGTCTGTAACTCAAGTGATGAGGCTGATTTTTTTAATTTTCTTTATTCAAATATTACAATTTTATATTAACAGCACACAGCGCTGAAGATGGATCTTTCAATCATCATAGCGGTGCTGGAACTCCGATACTGGAATAGCCTTCAGCTGTTCAGTTACAGCCGTTTGAATGTTTCCGTCTGTCCCAAAATGAGTTCCCTTGAGGTGATTTTTCAACTTCGGGAATAGATAAAAATCACAAGTACTCAAGTCATGCGAATAAGGAGGCTGAGGAGCAATATGAATGTTTTTACTGGCCAAAAACTCGTTTATTCACATTGTATTATCATGATATTCTTGATCTGAGGAACAAATATAAATTTTCCCTGACTATCAATCGCACAACATTCCGGCGGAGCAAAAGGCCGAAAACGAAAAAAATAAAAATCGATCAAACTTTTTCGAAACGCGTCTCTAGCTATCTGGGCTCGGCGTAACGGTCTGCTTGATTGTTCTGCTCCTACTGCGGCGGTGCTTCGGAGTTATGAGCCGACAACAAAAATTTTAGATCACCCCCAAACTTCATTTTACGACGCAACTTAATTTGACTTCAGGTTGATACCTGATGGCATGACAAGCAGCGAGCTAGTAGATCTACTGAGCCGGCTGACAGTCCACATGGACGAAGAGCTACGTGGTTTGTCCTACTGCAGCTTGCAAAGCCTTGTCGTCGACTTTCCTGAGTGGCGACAGGACGTATTATGGGGCTTGACCCAGTTCGTGGCTAAGGATATCCTCGACACATTCCCACAATTCATCGACCACGGCCTCAAGATGATTGTGACGCTGCTGTGCGCTTGGAAGACAGCACTTGGAGGGAACAATAACAACCACAATGGTGGCACTTTGAGGTAAGTTGCACTTTTTTATTTTCGGCAAGGTCTGTTAGGAATTGTGTTTAAGAAAAATCAATTTCTGGTGTCTGAAAGATGTAGGGGGATTGTTACTTTTTTCTCTGGCGGGATTAACGAGGGATGTCTTTTAAGTTTTGCATATGGAAATAAAACAACACGATAAGTAGTTTTAAATGACTTCATTGTTTTTCGAAGTATTCTCCACGAAGATTAATACACATCTGCATGCGCTCGAACCAATTTTCGAAGCACTTATTCCATTCTTTTGCTGGCAGATCCAAAACGGCATTTTTGAATGCGTCAACTGCTTCTTCTGGTGACTGGAACCTTTGACCACGCAGTCTGTTTTTAATTTTCGGAAAAGTAAAGAAATCGTTAGGAGTTCGATCGGGACTATCTGGAGGATGGTCCAATAATTCTACGTTTTCTTCCGTTAAATAATGCCTTGTTTTTTGGGCTGTGTGCGAGCTTGCATTGTCTTGGTGGAGGATGATTCTTTCGGGGTTGATTTGTCGAAGCTCGGTGATGACTTTTGGCAAACAAATGGTGGTATATCAATCCGCAGTAACAGTTCTTTGCTCATTAAGAGGAATTGTTGCAATATGGCCCGCTTTTGACACAAATTTCGCGAGCATCTTTTTCGAAACACTTCGAGAACGGATGACTTTTGTTGGCTTTTCTTTACCTCGGAACACCCAAACAGCCGACTATCGTTTATTTTCTGGTTCATAACAGTAAATCCACGATTCATGACCACTAACAATGCTGTAAACATTTTTTGAGTTTCCGGAATTGAAACGGTCAAGCGTTTTTTGACACCAATTAACCCTGGCTGCTTTCTGCTCTTCAGTCAACAGGTGGGATATCCAACGAGAAACTAATTTTCTTACTCCTAATTCTTCATGTAAAATGTTTTGAATTGAGGTCTTTGAGATCTTCAAGGACGCCTCAATCTCGCGATATGTCACATGTCTCTCTTCAATGATGAGTTTGCGCACAGCATCGACGTTTTCCTGGGTGACTGCCGTTTTTGGTGCACCCACCCTGGAATCGTCGCTAAGACTCACCCGTCCACATTTGAATTCTCCATACCAACGGGAAATTGTCGACTGATGTGGCGCTTCGTTGCCGAAAACAGACAGTAACTCAGCAAGGCATTCTTGTTGCGATAATTGTCTCTGAAAGTTGTAATAAATTATGGCGCGAAAATGTTCTCGGTTGAGTTCCATTTTTCTAATGACTTGGTGACACTTAAAAATTCACTGTAGTGCGCGTATTGTTGTGAAACTTTGAATTTAAGTTTACTAAAGAGTGAGGTTAAGATTCAGTACTGACGTTCGATCCGCGCGGTCTACTATGTTTCTATATGCAAAACTTAAAAGACATCCCTCGTAGCTATTTATGTCTAAAAACTCTAAAACGTTGTTTCGAGAGTAGTACAGTGTTTTGTGCGTGATTTTATTGTAAACGGTAATTTAAAAGACAATGGAAACATCACTGCAGCAGAAAGTACGAATACATCCAAAAATATCACAAAAGTCAGAGCCAAAAATGCTTTATTACTGAGGTACAGGTTGCTGATGAGGCTCTTTAATAATAATAATAATAATTTATTCACACCAATTACACGTGGTGAACAAATGCATATGCCACAAAAAGAAAATATCCTTGTATATGGATATCATGCTAACACAACATACATTATATAACTAACTAAAAAAATCTATATAATATAGGTGTAATATATACATTAATTTTGGATCGTAGACTAACAATGAAGAAAAGATATGTGTTAGTGTTTTATAAATTACATCATGTTTATATCAGTTTTCAAAAGCCACTCGTATACATCTATTTTTAATAATGATATTCGGTTTTTTCTAATATATTTTGTTAAGTTATAATATAATTTTGGACCGAAGTATATAGAAGAGTTAAACATTATTTCTTTTATTGGTGTTGCAATAATTATTTGTTTATTTTTATTTGTAGTAGCATATTCATCATTTTTATAAATGGTCGAATGTTTGTTTTTATGGAATTCTACTATAACATTATACCAAAATATACAATTAAATCTAAAAATTTTCATTCTATAAACAATAATTTGAAGGTATATAATGAAGGTTTATTATAATAATTCCATAGGTTATGTGGCATTCAACTAATGTTTGATATAAAGTGTTTAATTGAGTTTTATTGAAAATTTGTCTGTAGTATCTGAATTTATTTTTTTACAACTTTTCCGACAAATTTTAACCACACATGCACTGTTACGAAAGAAGTTGTTTTCTCAAAAAAAGTTTAAAAAAGCCCCACAGAAATCGAGATAATGTAATAATACAGTTTTACTTATAAAAGCTGTTCAAAATTGTTTCCATTGACTGCAGTTGCGCCTCATGTAATATGCGCCACGTTGTTGCATGTGAAGCTTCTGGGACCTGTTGGGCTAACTGTCTTGTGCTTATTCCCGGATTTTCTGCCACAATATCAAAAACTTCGTCTTCGGCATTTAAAACGTGTTGTGGGCGAACCCGACCCCCATCCATTCCGTGTCTGGGGCGCAAATCTCCACTAGCACGTGCATGTAAAACAATTGAACTAAATCTTTCGTGATGTGGTATGTGCCTATTCGGAAATCGGTGTCGCGAATTTTGCCCTGCTTCTCCGTACGCTAAAGCAATGTCCACTAACTCCTCATTAGTGTACACATGTGCCATTTTTATTAATAAATAATTAAAAACATAAACTCGCAAAATACTTTCTTATTTAACTTCACAAAAATCGACCGTTCTTCATTCAGGTCACCCACGATACAGATTAAACCTTATTTACACGTTCTTATCAGTATGAAAAAAGAAAAAATTCCTGGTATTTTGTTTTCGTCAGTTGCTACAATAAATTATTAATGCGTGTTCTAATATCACGCAAAATACAGATATTCATTTTTCAATTTATTATTGAAACTCAATTTCTGTAGGACTTTAATTACATTTTTTTTTGAGAAATCAACTTCTTTCGTAACAGTGCATATGTGATTAAAACTTGTCGGATAAGTTGTGTATTATAGAAATCTAAGTTTCTTTTTAATGTATTCGATATGTTGATCCAACGCAGATGACAGTCTAAAACAATTCCGAGATATTTATGGTTTATTTTACGCTATATATATATATTCATTTTGGAGAACAAACATATTTAGTATATTTTTCAAATGACGCTGTGGTGAGCTGGAATTACTCACCTAATATGCTACATGCATTCATTAATGTCAAACTACACGAATTTTAATCAATTTCCAAAGTCGAACGGATCTAAATTTCTCATATGGGTAATATCTCAAATATGAAAACCAACTTTTCTGAAAAAGGAATGATCTGACACATTTATGTAAAAATGAATTTCTCATCTAAAAATGAAAATAAAAGAAAGGTGAAGTGTAGCTAACATAATCGTTTTTCAACTTGAAGCTTTTCACCTACCTAAACTTGATTTTTTATTGTATTTCTTTATCAGGCTAGGAAAAGATAAAGGGGAAGGCAAGACCGGTTCCGATCCCAACCTTACCAAACGCACCGATCTAGGCAAGTCAGAATCCATGTCGTCAGTTTTGCATCTGGTGGAGGCTTTGGCATTGGTGATGCTATGCACGTATCGATTGACTACCAGAAGGTTGTCCGTGATGATCTTGAAGGAGGTCAAAAGCTTGCTGAAGGTACTGAACTGTTCAGATCAACCAGCTGTGATTGACGTGATGGATCAGTGCTGTGCTCAAGTTGTGGAGAAGTGTCTCCCGTTGTTACCACCTGCTGAGAAGGCTGCGGTACAGGCTGTACCCAATATCGATCTCCAGTGGTAAGTAGATAAGTTGATTGTGTCTTTTTTTTACAACCACTATTGGACTATGTATCTTAAGAAAACGCTCTTTTTTATAGACTCGTTATTTCTTTCTAAAAGGATTTTATAATGGATGTTTAAATTTCCCGCAGTGGTATTCCACAAGGATCCATCTTATGGCTATTACTGTTCACACTATCTATACTAAACATTGAGATGAAAAAGAAGTGTTTTTCTAATTCTTTCTAAATATAAGGGGGTAACTTTTCCTTGGAAGCTCAATCGCTTTTTTGTACAACATTCAGTTGATTTTAGCTATTATTTTCTAGGTTAGCTGACAGGAATTCTTCAGTGTGGACAGCAGGGCTGTTTGAAGATGGATCCGTGAAGAATGCAGCTAGCTACAATTTTTCTGTCGTGGATCCATGGAGCGTATGCCTTTTTGGATTCTTGGAAAGAGACAGAATACTCAGCTCTTGCTCTCTGATGACCATGCATTCATGGCCCATAGTTTTTACGAGGTTGAATGCCTTGTACTCTGTTGTGGACCCCACGTAAGCCGTTTTTATGTGCGCTGGAAGGCAGTTTTTTATTTTGTTTTGTTTCAGACCTCTTAATGATAATAGAGCTTCTTTATTGAGAAGTGCTACTACTGTAAAGAAACCGCCTACAGAAAGAGATGCGTATATGCATCTTTGGAAAAATTACATAACATTCGCTTTCAGAGTAGTTCCACTACTTTCAAATCCTGTTGTGAGATGTGCTAGCCCTGACTTGAGCTTGAGGTATGTAAACTGTGATTCCTGCACAATTTTTTTCACATTCCTACGCAGATAATACTGATTGGTAGTTTTTCTTTTAAACTTTTTATTTCCAGTTCATCTCCAGATAGTCTAAACGCTGAAAAAGCAGACTATAAGATGCAAGCTTCAAATATTTCCCCCGTCTCTCTGTATAAGCTTGTAGTACCTCATTTGAGGTGCGAAGTCACTGATATCAGGGATGCTGCAGTTTACGCTATTGGAAATATCAACGGAGCTGCTTTAAGGTAAGAATATCTTCGGGATGTGTGAGGTTGAACTGATTTTGTGACTTCGTTGATGTCTAGACCTTTCCCCAGGAAAAAAGATATGTATTTCAGACTATTATGTTCCAGGGACCTGTTGGATGAATCAGCAGTTTATATCCGAGAAGCAATAGACAAAAAACAAGAGAATGTAAGGCGGAGACGAAGGAGAGACGCACTAAGACTGCAATTGATGAGACTGCTAGAAAATATTGCTGACAATGAGACGTTTGGTGTTAGTCCTTGCGTGATAGACAGGGACTCTCACTCATTAGTACCGATCCTGGTCGAATTTATTGATGGCGTCAGGTATTATCTGGAAAATGAACCCGATAAAAATGCAAGCAGCGTTAGGGACTTGACGCTGCATTTCTGCCATTTTATTAGGAAGATGATCAAGAACTTTAGTCGTAAGTACCATAGCTTTTAAAACACTTCCCTCGATGCAATAATTGATCGAAATCCGATATTATCTATAATAGGAATTTGCAAAGAAGTTCCCCCAAGTTACTTGTTAAAATAATCCTCTAAAGCTAGATTCGGTGTAAGCTATCAAGCGAGGTGATGAAAATGACGAATAGATACTATATTTTAACATAATGCTGACGGTTGAAAATTTCTGTATTTTAGTACTCGGCCGCCATCTTGGAACATTTTACTTCCCACCCCACCACTGAGGAAGTATTCTAATCGCAAAAAATTTCGAGAATGAGATATTAAGTTTTTTGGTTATTATCTGACATGTACATCACGAAAAACCATGTCACTACTTCCGTCTGTGTGTCTGCTAATCCTGGGTCTGTCTATAACTTGGAAACTACCGCTCGGACGTTGATGAAATATTCACACAAAGATACTACTATTCCATGGGTAGTTTTTAAAAATCGGTCCAGTGTCTACCGAACTGGAGTAAAAACACGAAAAAAGTTAAAATCGCCCAAAATCTGTTTTTGGCGTTTCAGAGGCAGAGGCTCCTGATCAAATAAAAATTTGTGGGGATTAAAAATGCCTCAAGTTTTTGATGTCATTACATTTATATGCTTCCAATCCTCGTAATTCTACACATCTATTATCACGAACACATCATATATAGATTTTGCCGTACATTTACTCTTGATGAATACTGCCGCGTCTGACGCGTCGTTTTATTACGTATGGGCCAGGGGTGACGTTGCCAGATGGAAGGTATTATTGGTGGGACATAGAAAGAGTGCCTATTGATTAATGGCGTGGGCTTGTTTGAATGACTTGATCTGTTTAATTTGTGTGTTATACAGGTTCGTAGCTAACTTTTTTCTCAGAGGGTCTAACTTTTTCTGAACATTATCCTTTATGAAATGATGAAAAGCATTGCATGGGAAGTGTAGTTTCAATCTACTTGACGCCTTTTTTAAATGGAATGGTGGATTTCTTTTATATACTATGGTAATAAAGTAGGAAGAAGAGCTACATTGTGGCCGCAATTCCATCTAAGAAATTGTGAAGTTTGCGCTCATTCGCCGTTTAGTAATTTTCAACTGCCACTTTTGCGATAAAAAATAGCATCCATTTACATAAATTTTTACACTCCAAATTTCAGCTTGCTAACTAGACCCGTTCAAAAAATAAGTTTTGGAGGAGGATTTATGAAAGCGCTACATGTTTGATGAGTGATAATTAGACTGCAAGAGACGCTTGCATTTTCTTCTGTTTAGAAAATAAATCAAGGCCACTCATAATAAAATGTACCCCGACACTTGCGACCAGGATATTGATAGCTGAGATTCTCGCGGAAAACCTGGCATAAATTTAGAAAACAAAGTATTGAAAATGAACGAAAATTATTACTTGTTTTAAAGTTAATACCTCAAAGAATAAGTTAGTCATGGAATTTGCTTACACTATCTTTACCATAGTAGACTATTAAACTTGAACTTTTTGGAATATCATTCGACAATACTTTTTAACCGCAAAATAGAAGAGTTTCTGTATCATCAGTTGTGTGTTGAAAATATTTCACATCTGAATATGGATGATAATAGAGTACGAATCTTCATTTCATGTAAAAAACATCTGTCATCGTTGCTTTCATGTACTAATAGAAAAGATTACTATTTAGATCTACTTCTGTATGCTTATTGCCCCAATTGGAAGCAGATGATGCGAAAACCTATATGACGCGCTGGACTCGAATAGACTTATTTTGAATTTGTCCCTGAAGTGGCCTTGAAATGACCTTCAGATGCCCTTACAGATACTAACTGGTCTCTCATTCAGACTCAGTAACCAGAAAAACCTGAAAGACATGCGGTCGGGATGAAGTGCTCGGTTTCTTTTGAAAATGACCTCGATATGACAGAAGTGACATTCAAATGCCCTCAGATTTGAAATTAGGAACCCCTCTGATGTCCTAAAAATCTGTTGCCAACTTTTTGGTGTTCTAGACCACTATGAAGAAATTACTGCCCAACTAGCAAAGTAGTGGTAAAAGCTTTTGGTAAAAGAACCGTTCAGCCATAAAAGCTCTCTATTGTTGTTGCCTGAACACCAAAATGCTGGCTTAATGTTGTGTGGAATGCAAATTTGCTTTCTGCAACATATTTGCTCTAAAATGAGGTGTTTAAAATATTCTTATAGCATATTTATACAACATCTTATAGGGAAAATTTTTAACTTTTGCATAAACGTTTATTCAACTATTTTATACCGCATATTTGCACGTTAGTCAAAATGGTTGTGTTGTGGCATCCATGGTAACGTTTATAAAACAATCCCGAGTCTTGTTGTTTTGCTGTGCAATTTACTACTTTAGCCAACAAATTGCTCCCAACGAAAGCACTTATACACCTGTTGTTTAGTAACTGTTAAAGGCTGTACATATGCTAAATATGTTGGTAAACAACTTTACCATAACCTAACTTTCTGCTGTCATATTTTTGTAAAACGCCATAACCAATGTTTTAAGACAAACAACGCATGGATATTGGTTCAAAAGGTTTTATCAACTGTTCAAACAGAAGATATAGATCTGGTACAAATTCTGGGTAAATCATTTGACTCTGTCGGTATTTCATTTCAGACATTTGTCAAATTGTTGTATAACACCTGCAGGCAACACCAAAATATTCTAATAATCTAAAGACAACATGGACGATGTCATGATTGTACTCAACCACCCGCCATATTGGGCAAACATTTATTCCTCTATTTAATATTAAATAATTATGTTTCAGTTCGAAATTACAGATATACAGAGATAAACATTAGTGTAATTGTGTCTAAATATAAGATTTGTGGAAGATTTAACGCAGATAAGTTCAGTTTTCCCTCTTCAAAATCTAGACATACTTTTGATCATTGACAAAATATGAATCAAATACGAAGCCCGTAGAAATTGGGTAACTAATTTGCACGATAATCACAATAAAATTTGCTGCGCAAGTAATTCAATAGCCCTATATCACAGTGTAGAAGTTTATCATATACCTGTGTATGAAATTCACAATGGCCAATATGTAAGTAAACAAGATGACTGTAATGTGTTAGTTATATATTCTTCACTTCGTCTATACAATACATAAGAAATAGTTTGGTTGCAATAAAGTAGAATCACGTAACAGAATAGTTGTATAGTTGACAAAAACTGAATCTTACACTGACGCAAATGTCCTTTAGCGGCTGCAAGAGGCTTACACTTTTGTTTTATAACTGTTACCTGCAGCCCTTATACAACCTCTTAAATGACTGAAGTGTCCTATTAGGTGTGCCCATTCCGCTTGTATAGCTGTTCTAAGAGGGTTTTGCCAATGTTCTTACAGTATACAATGCTGTTTAAGGAATACTGTATAATCATTCTTGCAACTCTAATAGGAGTGATAATTGTTAGTTGGGTGGGTGAACGATAAGGATGCTTGTAAAAAATCATATTTTCTTCCAGTTGATGCATGCCGAAGCCTGTTGAAACGCGACTTGAGACGTAACCTTTTCACCTTATTATCCAACTGGGCTGGTAAATACAGCCTGCCCAATGCTAAAGTTTCAACGCCAGATGGTGACAGCTCGAACAAAAAGCATTCCGAACTACAGTACGCCGCTTTGAAAGCTATGAGCTCCTTGCTTTGCTGCGGACCTTGCTTCGACTCTCTGACAGAAGAGAGCACTTACTATTTGTGGATTGAGGGATTGTTGAACAGCACCGAAGAAAAGGTAATAATTGCTATGAAAAAGGCACAAAGTTTCTAATTGAAGTTTATTGTATCTATATTTTATAAAAATAAATATACGAATTTGGATCCAAGAAGCTCTAGTTATCGGTATTTATTGATTCCTTGATGATTCTTTCTTCCAGAACATCGTCTTAGTTGTAAAGCCGAGCGAAAGTTGTGACGCAGGCGATATAATATGTAGCAGTAATAGACCAGGATATCTAGAGTTTGAGAGAAAAACATCGTTATACACTGTTTTGCGGAATAATATTCTTGAGGGTATGCAGAAAGGCCCCTCGCCGAAAAGTTTTGTTGGAAAAAATGGTATTTCGGCTACCAAGGATCCAAAAAGTATATTTTTTCGTCGGTGCGTATTTTTCATAAGATTTCAATAGTGACAGTTCCAGTTACGACTGCCAAAAAACAACAGACTTATTCTAATCGTTTATAAAGGAAAAAATGGTGTGTCATTGGCGACGCTTTTTTACATGGTTGGTATATGAAAATCTGGTATCTCTTTTAATACGGTATTAAACTAAGCTTCTATCAAGAAGAACGCCCCAATATTAGGCCATTTGATTTAATCCAAAGTCGCTGGAAAGCTCGTCAAAACAGGCAATTTTTCTAAAAAAAAAAAATAGTAACAAGTAGAAAATTGTAGAAGCTTGATGATTTTTGAATGACATTTGTTATGGATGTTAAGCGCTATAAAGACTTCAGTGGCGATAATTCCAGTTACGGCTGCCAAAAAAACAACAGATTCTAATTGTTTATACGAGGGATGTCTTTTAAGTTTTGCATATGGAAATGAAACAACACGGTAGGTAGTTTTAAATGACTTTATTGTTTTTCGAAGTATTCTCCATGAAGATTAATACACATCTACATGCGCTCGAACCAATTTTCGAAGCACTTATTCCACTCGTTTGCTGGCAGATCCAAAACGGCATTTTCGAATGCGTCAACTGCTTCATCTGGAACCTTTGACCACGCAGTCTGTTTTTAATTTTCGGGAAAGTAAAGGAATCGTTAGGACTTATATCGGGACTATATGGAGGATGGTCCAATAATTCCACGTTTTCTTCCGTTAAATACTGCCTTGTTTTTTGGGCTGTGTGCGAGCTTGCATTGTTTTGGTGGAGAATGATTCTTCTTTCGGGGTTGATTTTTCGAAGCTCGGTGATGACTTCTGGCAAAAAAATGGTGGTATACCAATCCGCAGTAATAGTTCTTTGCTCTTCAAGAGGAATTGTTGCAATATGACCCGCTTTTGACACAAATGTCGCGACCATCTTTTTCGAAACACTTCGAGAACGGATGACTTTTGTTGGCTTTTCTTCATCTTGGAACACCCAAACAGCCGACTGTCGTTTATTTTCTGGTCCATAACAGTAAATCCACGATTCATCACCACTAACAATGCTGTGAACATTTTTTGAGTTTCCGGAATTGAAACTGTCAAGCGTTTTTTGACACCAATTAACCCTGGCTACTTTCTGCTCTTCAGTTAACAGGTGGGATATCCAACGAGAAACTAATTTTCTTACTCCTAATTCTTTATGTAAAATTTTTTGAATTGAGGTCTTTGAAATCTTCAAGGATGCCTAAATCTCGCGATATGTCACATGTCTATCTTCAATGATGAGGTTGCTCACTGCATCGACGTTTTCCTGGGTGACTGCCGTTTTTGGTGCACCCACCCTGGAATCGTCGCTAACACTCACCCGTCCACGTTTGAATTCTCCATACCAACGGGAAATTGTCGACTGATGTGGCGCTTCATTGCCGAAAACAGACACTAACTCAGCAAGGCATTCTTGTTTTGCTAATTGTCTCTGAAAGTTGTAATAAATTATGGCGCGAAAATGTTCTCCGTTGAGTTCCATTTTTCTAGTGACTTGGTGACACTTCAAAAATTTACTGTAGTGAGAGTGTGCAACTTTGAATTTAAGTTTACTAAAGAGTGAGGTTAAGATTCAGTACTGACGTTCGATCCGCGCGGCCTACTAAGTTTCTATATCCAAAACTTAAAAGACATCCCTCATAAGGGAAAAAATGATGTGTCATTAGCGACGCTTTTTTACATGGTTGGTATATGAAAATCTGGTATCTCTTTTAATACGATATTAAACTAAGCTTCTATCAACAAGTCAAAACAGGCCATTTTTCTGAAAAAAAAAGTAACAAGTAGAAAATTGCAGAAACTTGAGGATTTTTTAATGACATTTGTGTTATGGATGTGAAGCGCTATGTAGATTTCAACTTTTATTATTTCAGATTTAGCGTTATGCGTTTTCCTGTAAAAAATAAATGTATTAAATCGACGATATTTGGCGATTTTTTTTAATTACAAATGAAACGTTACTGTGAATTGGCAGTCTAAGGTCGTATTTTGAAGGTATTTTCATCCCCAACATCTTTTCTGGACCACTTAGACATATAATTCATAGTTTTTTGACGTTTAATAAAAAAGTTTTTTAGTATCTCTCGATGAAGAGCCTTGACATATTCCTTCAAAAAGATAATTCCGTTTTAAAACCGCTTATTGCAGTTTTTTTCTGAACGGGGGTCGATTTTTTGTCATTGGTCTTTAATAGCCAAGATGAATTTGGACTTGCGAGTTGAGTGGCTATATTAAAATTTAATGAACCATATCATTTAAATTGTCGACGAAAGACGTGGAGTGGAGTCCTCTGGGTCTCAGTTTTCGCTTGGCCTAGATGACTATTTTCTTGTATTAGTCTTAACATTGAAATTTCATGTACTATCTCCTATATTTCTCCTTCCAATCGAAACCACACGTGTTGAAAAATATATGTACCGAAGAAGGTCACCATTGTGACTGGAAATGTTAACAATACACATTTTTTCAATACATGTGGTTTTGATTGGCCACAGAAATATTAGTCTAATCATATTAGACGAAAGTAAGTACCCCTGTTTCCGAAATAATTGTAGTCTGGTTTTATTGCTGCAAGCTGTTTAAGGGGGTATTTTTTTGGGAAAACTTTTTTATTTTACAACAAAGAATGAGAAAACCTATTTTTTGGTAGTCAATCGAAAGTGTTGGCAGGAACGAAAAAACTCTTCATATAAGATTTTTATGTATTTATGAGACCTACAAAACGAGACCACACCTAAAAAGATCCGGCTAATAGCAAAAACTGCAGGTTTTGGCACTTGTTGGATTTGTACTTCTAAATAACCCAAAACACATGTTTCCCACTACTAGTTTATTGAGCAATATACGGGGTTAGTTCAAAGGCACTTTATAGCAAAATACACTAGTTTACCTTGCCGCTATGAATCGCAAACCATTCCGGAAGACTAATGTTATTTTTATACAAAAAAGGATGGGTTACGTTTTTTCTTCTAAACAAATTCGAACATTTTGTATTTGTGAGTAATTCGTAACAAAAGCTGATGGATACATCCGCTTTGTTTTAAAATGTGTATAGAAACCTATGTTTTTCGAATATCCTAGCGCATTTGCTCAATTATCCACGAATACGAAATATCTTAATTTGTTTAGAAGAAAAAAATGGAACCTTTGTTTTTCGCATAAAAATTACATTTATAGTTCGGAATGGTTTGTGATTCATATCGGCAAGGTAAACACCTGTATTTTGCTATTAAATGCTCTTTGAACGAAGCCTGTATATTGCTCAATAAACTAGTAGTGATGGCCGGAAAGCAGGTGTTTTGGGATAAACAAATAGAAATTCTCAAAAAATTACTTCTCCAATATACTCCAATTTGGTTGTTATTATTAAGGAGTATGAATCCTTCGGATTTAAAGAGTTTCAAGTAGTTGCGTGGTATTATCGTCGTATATTACCAAGTTCAAAACCTGCATTTTGCCTCGTTTTTCGGCCATAACATTTAGTTATTAGTCGGATCTTTTTACGTGTGGTCTCATTTTATAGGCCTCAGAAATACCAAAATATCTTTTATGAAAAGTTTTTTCGTTCCTGTCAACACTTTCGATTGAATCCCAAAAACACGTTTTCTCATTCTTTATTGTCAAATAAAAAGTTTTCCCACAAAAAATGGTGCACCCATTTTATGCGCTCATGTTTTAAATACCCCCTTGAACAACTTGCACCAATAAAACCAGACTTTACAATTATTTCCGTGAAATTTGCTACTATGATTAAACTATATGGGTAATTATGGAGATGAAAACCTTAGGATAAGTTTTAGATGTTACATTTCGTTTACCATCTAACAATAATATGCTTAGCCTACAATTTTTGCATCATTATCCATATGGTGCCATTTTCTAGGTATACAATTTGGCCCAAGAAACTGTAATTCTCTTGCTGGAATCTAACCCAGACGTGTCACCCTTACTGGACTGGGTTGTGGACAAATGCTACACAGGAACACCTGTGGTGGCTGACATTTGCTTTTTGGCTTTAGCTACAATTTTCAGCGCTAGGTAGGTGGTTGTGTACGTTCGCTTACTTGGGGCTGCATCAATTTTTAGCTGAGGAATAACTTTTCAAATCGATAATTGATATAGACAAAAAATGCAAGTTATACCAATGATACCGATTGAAGTGACAACTCGAAAGATCAGCCACTCAAAATTTTTTGATAAAGGATCATTTTCGTCCGTGTTTAACAACATTTTTTTAATGCAGGGAGTATCCATGTGACCACTACACAGCAATAATAAACGTGACATTGATGAACACTGGCTGTCCCAGGCAGATTGTCAGAGATACAGCATTGCAACTTCTGCAACTACTTGACAAGAGGTTCTTTGGATGCGTGGGGCCCCTGGCTGAAAACGATTTGGGTGAGTGGCTTGTATTCTTTGCGGATGAAAAACACAATGTGTTGCTTCTGTATAAAACTGAAATATTTCACATACATTTATTATGTACCATCAGAAAAATAGTTTCTATATTCCCTCATGATTGTCTGGTCAATCAAACCGCATGTATTTAAAATTCTACTTTATTGTGAACGTTTTGATCCAGCGATCTTTTTCAAGGATAAAATTGATACTCTTTTGACAGTATTTTGACACTTTTTTTGACAATATAGCATCCCACAAACCGGCGCGAAATATTCGCTTTGGCTGCGAAAATTTCTCGGCGATGAATTCGCGATCAGATTAAAACGCGGCGGTTTATGGACAGGCTCATACTTGTGCGAAGCGAATGCGATTGTTCCAGCGTTTTTATCGCGGCGTATTTCAGTTCGCCTTTGACCGCGTTTTTGACGCCGTTCTTCAAAAATTCGCAATGGCAAAAACGGAATTATTGATAGAAATAGTGAAAAAGTATCCTTGTTTGTATGATTTGTCGAACGATGAATACAGGAATGTGAGAAAGAAAGACAAGATTTGGATGGAAATAGGAAAAGAATTAAATACAAATGGTATGTACCTAATATTTTTTATTAACTTGTTAAATAATTTACAGTCTACACAAATGTGAAAACGAACATTCTATATATTGGGCATAGGCATATCAGAATTAAAATAATTTACGAATTTGTCACGAGTAGAAAATGCTAGCCTTGCTGCCCGCCGAGGATCATTTGCTATATCAGTAAAAGCTCCAAGCACGGGTTCTGGGGGATCTAAGAATTGAATATATTTGTCACCGCCACTTTTACTTCGTAAAAAATTGTGTAACACACATGCCGTACGTACAATTAGAATAGTAGTATCTACTTTAGTTTCTAATGGCCTGTAAAATATTCGCCATTTTTGAGACAAAATACCAAACGCATTTTCCACGACCCTTCTACCTCGACAGTCTTACATTGTATTTCTCTTTTCTGACGTCTGTTAAAGTCTGCTTATAAGGAAATGGTCTCATAAGGTATGGTTTTAAAGCAAATGCTTCATCACCAATTAAGACGTACGAGCAGATTTCATTTTGCCCAGGGAGAAATCTAGGTGCAGGGACACTCATTAAATTTTGTTCAAATCGTTTTCCCATGTTTGAGGTTTCGAAAATACCCCCATCACTATTTTTTCCGAAACCACCAATATCAACACATATAAATTTATAGTCCGGGCCAACAATGGCCATAAGTACTACTGAATATTTATGTAAATAGCACCAGTAATTGGAGCCACTGTTGTTAGGTCTCTTGATTGTTACATGTTTACCGTCCACGCTGCCAATGCAATTGGGAAATCCCCATCTATTTTCAAATTCTTCAGCACATTTTTCCATATATTCTCTGTTGATTCTGGTAAATATATATGCTCCATATGTCTGCATATCGCTTCACAGACTTCGGTTACGATTGCACACACTGTTGTAAAGCCAACTCGAAAGCTATGCCCAATGGTATAGAAGGTGTCACTAGTGGCAAGGAATCTATAAAAACAATCGTTTTTAGGTGATGAAGTAAAAAAAAGGTGGAAGAATATCAGAGACACATTTGCAAAATATATAAAATCTACCAAACCAAAGACCGGCCAAGCAGTGGGCAACATAAAAAAATGGCAGTGGGCTGACTACATGGAATTTTTCCGTCCTTTTTTGGCATTTGCCAAAACGTCGTCTAATGTGAAAGATATTGACGTCACACATTATGCGACTGCCGAATTTAACTCAAATATATATCAGGAAAGGGCTGGAAATGTAGAAACCGAAAATTTGGAAGACCGCGGCCATGGAGAAGATGAAAATGCTGATGTAGATGCAGAAGATGCACAGAACGCCTCGGCAACACAGACAGCACCACCTTCTTCATTGAACACTACAGCAGTGACTACTCCAGGGCACACCTTTCCGCAGACTGCAACTACACCAAAATATAAAACGAGCAGAAAACGCTATGAACCACCATCTTCGTCTGTACAACAGCTCATTAATTATTTTGAAGGTAAAAAACCTAAAAAAAAGAGAACGAGGCCATTGATTCACTTTTCTTGGCACATGCACAGACTGTGAAAACACTTCCCTTAAAGCGTCAAGCCCGAATAAAACTAAAAATAGCCGAATTAATAGCGCACGAAGAATTTGAACATATTGAAGAAATGTCTTCAGCGTCTACCCAGAATTCTGCAAGTATGTATGATAGTAGTATGTCGTCCTTCCCAAGCGGCACTGGGTTTACTCCAATAATATAACCAGCAGAGGAGGCAAATTCTGCCTCGAATTATTTAGCAACATTTAATCCTAGTGGCAACATGTAGTCCAATTATTACAATAAAATATTTATTTCACGATCCCTGAAGTTTTCGTATTCGATAAGCCTACTAATTTTAATACATATAATTTTTTTACCTGAGTGTAATAGCAAGTCGTTCTTCTGGCGAAATAGCTTCACGATAATTTGTGTCAGATTTTCGTATTTCATCTTTCACCAAGTTCAATATTTCATCGAAACACTCTGGAGGTATTCTAAAATATACGTAAAAGCGCTGTTCATCCAGCCGAAGTTGTGGCATCAAGGTATGGTATTCCCCAAATTTATTTCGTTCCAAGTTAATATCATGTACCCACTTCCTTCGTTTCCTAAACAAAATTGAAAATATTTGTTTTATGTACTTCGTTAAACTTAATACATACCCAACTATCAAATGGCGTTAAATAAACATAACTTACCGTGCATTTTGTTCCGCTTCTAAAGCAAGAAATAGAAGTGCCTCCTCTTCTTCTGAAGACGAGCTCATTGCAAAAGGCAAAAATAAAATGTACGCAACCTGTCGAAACCTTTACGTTCGCGGAGCGAGTAAGACGCTTTGGTATGAATAAACAGGCGAAACAGATTGCGAATTTCGCTCTGAATTTCGTTGCGAATACTTCGCTGCGATTATTTCGCGCCGGTTTGTGCGATGCTTATATTGTCAAAAAATGGTTAGTTTTGTACTGAAAGTTATGACCGTTGGGACCGAAACGTTCAAAATAAAGAAGAGTTTTAAATATACAAGGTGGCCAATATATAACTGACAGATGACATTTAACTAAAGCACATGTGCCTAATTCATCATGGAGCACTGTACGGTCGAATGGCCACCAAGGCCACCGGATTTAGTGGCTCCTGACTTTTTTATGAGGAATTTTGAAAAATAGGGTTTATGCCAACAAACAAAATACTGTAAGCAGCTGAAGAACAATATTACGGAAGCGATTGAAAATATTTCTCCAAAAACCTACCAAAAAGTGATGGAAAATGTAATCAAGAGGGCTAGGTTTGCGCGGTTCTAGAGGCGGACATTTGTATGATATTATTTTTCATACATAATTTCTAAGTTTCAATAAAATATTAAGATGAAAAAAATGGTATTTTATTTCATTTCACAAATATTCAAGATACTAACCAGTCAGTTACATATCGGCCACCCTGTATATGGTTTGTTTCACCACACAAACATGGGGGATTATCACCATGAAAACCACAGGACAAGTTTCAGATGTTACAATAAATAATTCAAAGTTAAATGCCTTGACAGAATATATATAGTATATGGAATGCTTTAAGGGGTATTTCTGAAATATCCCATAAATATGATTCCTATCAAGCTGAATAATCTGCGTATTATACGTCAGACTTTGTATGCTTTGACATTTCAGTTTTGAAGTTGATTATAATGAATTCTAGATTCGTAAATTTCTTTCTTTCGTTTCTTTGATTCCTTCCTGATGATGAGTTCGATGTAGAACGAGTATCTGTAAATAGAGACAGAAATATAAAATATATCTGCCATCAATTTGCTAAAGATAATAATGTTTCATCAGGGGTATTTGTAACGTTCTTTTTGCCTTTTACGCAAATAATGCACGATACAGTGGCGAAGCGTGACTTTTCCTAAACTGTTGCCAAAACCAGATGTGAAAAATCTTATTAAAAAAAAAGGTTTATTTTGAACCTACCAAATATAAGCTTTTATTTTAGGTGTTTTATTTAAACTTTTTCTAAATTAAGGTAAACATTGCTGGACTGGGCATCGGGGCACTTGATATACCTCATCGTCTTAACAGTTGACGTTTTTAGAAATGTTTGATCTTTTTTGGCAATTAATGTTAACAATTCCCTGTAATTTCCACTATTGTCAGCGTCATCCCCTTTAAAATGTCCCCGAAATGGTAATTCTTGTTTGGCCAAAAAACATACGGCATCTATAAGAGGGCTGCATAAAAGCTTGGTTAAGACAACTTTCGATTCTTCTTTGCCAAACTGAATTAAATTGGCTATACATTTCACATGTAACGGAGAAATTCCATGTCTCCTCTTTAGAACCCTAAGACTATTTAAATCGTTGACTCCGCTGCTGGTCCACCCATTTTTTTCTGTAGAAAACAGAAGACATGGCCAACAATACAATCTTTTTTTTGCAGCCACATAACCAAGAGTTTTCACTATACCAACTGAATTTAAACTATCGAACTACTTATTTATCCCTTTTTAAAATTATCTAAAATAGGTGTTGGTCTTCATTTTCAATGATCTCCTTTTTTTTTCTTCAAAATTATAACAGGTGATTTTTTAAGAGGTATAGGATTTTGATTTTCAAAAAAAACACAAAAAATTTGAAAAAACGGTTAAATCTTTATTTGAATCGATAGAACGGTCGATATAATTTAATGTTTGAAGATTATTTCATGTAAATGTTGGCCGCGGCTCCGCTTTAGATGGCCCATGCGCAAGGTCCAATTTTGGCACACTCTCTCCAACGTATCGGCCGGTATCTCACGAATAAATGCTTCAATATTGGCTTCCAGTGCGTCAATCGTTGCTGGTTTATCCCTGTAGACATTAGCCTTAACATGGCCCCACAAGAAATAGTCCAACGGCGTTAAATCACACGAGCTAGGCGGCCAATTGACGGGCCCCAAACGTGAGATAAACTGTTCACCGAACTCGCCTGTCAATAGGGCCATGGTTTCGTGTGCGGTGTGGCATGTGGCACCGTCTTGTTGAAACCACATGTCAGCCAAGTCCAGCTCTTCCATTTTGGGCAAAAAAAAGTTTATCATCGCACGGTAGCGCTCGCCATTCTCAGTTACGTTCCGGCCATTGTCGTCTTTGAAGAATTACGGCCCGATGATGCCACCGGCCCATAATCCACAGCAAACAGTGATTTTTTCGGGATGCATTGGTAGCTCTTGCAATGCTTCTGGCTGGTCTTCACTCCAGATGCGGCAGTTTTGCTTGTTAACGTACCCATTCAACCAGAAATGAGCTTCGTCGCTGAACACAATTTTTCGATAAAAATGTGGATCTTCCTCCAACTTTGCCAGCGCCCATTCACCAAATTGGAAACGTTGTGGGAGGTCGTGTGGCTTCAATTCTTGCACCAGCTGTATCTTATAAGGTTTTACACCCAAATCCTGTCGCAAAATTTTCCACGTAGTGGAGTAACAGGCCCAATTGCTGCGAACGGCGGCGAATCGACATTTCACGGTCATCACTAACACTGGCGGATACAGCCGCAATATTTTCTTCAGTCCTCACTCTACGTCTGCGTGTTGGTGGTTTAATGTCCAATAATGTAAACTGGGTTCGAAATTTAGTCACAAGCTTCCGAATAGTTCCCTCAGTAGGCCGACCAAATTGCCCATAAATTGGAAGCAGTGCTCGATGCACTCTTGTAACCGAGCATGAATTTTGATAGTAAAATTCAATAATTTGGAAGCGTTGTTCGTTCGTAAGTCGATTCATGGTTAAATTATAGACCAAACTGAACAAGTTTGACAATTACACAAGACACGATTCACGCGTCATCTGTCAAAAACAGTGTTGCCAAAAAGATACTAGCAAAAAAATCACCCATTATAAGGAGAATGACTTTTTAAGTAGTTGATCGATTACGCAGCGACATTCATCCGTTTAATTGCACGCATACTACAGCCGGTAACCGAAACGGCTATTTACGAGTTAGAAGTCAGTAACCAAAACAAAAAGTGGTAACAAGCCCACATAATAGTCGCAGCGGCCCACGCACTCTGGCGACCGCGATCCGACACGAGCCGGCGCCGACAGTCCCAGCCTTATTTTCGTGCGGCTAATTTGCTATTTACTGAAGTACTATGTCATATTGCTGTTGGTAAACATATAAATGAAATTATTCCACAGTATTTAGTCATAAAATATTTATTTTCAAGATTTTTAACTGTTACCAATGGTAATAATGGTTACATGGAGCCTTCGCCACTGGCACGATAGTAGATCAGGAACGACTGCCCTTTTACACTTTATATCTATTCTTAGGAAATAGACACTAACAGTAAGATGATGCCATTCCTTGAGTGTGCCTAACGATTGCAAGAATCTCAAGTCGAGGTAGTTTTTCACATAAAACCGCGTTGATCTTTTACGTCCCTCTTTTCTTTACACCGAAGATGCTGCGCAAGCAGAAGCCTAAATGCTGGGGCACAGCGGCTGCTATGAAGATCCCACAGAAACTCCGTTAATCCTTTTTTTGAACTGCCTAAGGTTAGTAGAACTCTGAAAAGCCTCCTCTTGTAGATTGTACCACAATCTCGACACCCTATGGACAAAGAAGCGGTCGTATCGGCCAGTTCTGAACTCCGACCAGCCGAAATGAACGGCTCTGTGGCAGCACTCGGTCATCCATCGAAACCAGATGTGTACAAGTATCAAACCGTATAAGATTGTTGCGTCCCCAAGCAGTGATAACCTCCAGGCGTCTCGTAAGAGAGGAAGTCGTTGTTAGTCTCCTTTTTTCCAGCTCCTTTGGGAGGCCATAGGAAGTTTGCCTGAGAGGCCAGCATGCCACATCTGACAGAATGCTTTCATTCCTTGATGAAACCTCATAAATTCACAATTATAGACTAACTTGCCACACGTATAGAACTCGAGTTACAAAGTTAAGGAAGCACGAAGTCGGAAGTCACGTTTTGCAGGCATCGGGAAAGGTTTTTTGATCATCTCTGAAAGCTGATAGATTTTCACGCTTCCAATCGCCGTGTCTATGAATCGCCTAGCTAAAGTTCCTAGGATAATGCACATACAGTTGCGAACGAGAACAGTAACTTGCATGCGATTGAAATTTTAATTGAATCAAACTTTTTTGTAAGCAATCTCAGTGCAAGTTGTTCATTTACTAAGTTTAATGGAGTTCATGAAAAGTTTTCACACCTCATTGAACTCTAAACAGTCCCCCGGGTCTTTTGTACTTTGTTAACACGTTGAATAGAAAGTTTCTTTATTTCGTGAAAGTTAGTTTCCTTCCGCATCAACATAATGCTTTGGCCGATTCGTTAACATTCATCTGACCTCGGTAGTGTAATAAAAAATCTCTTTTATTCAGGCTACATTTTGTAGCGATTAATACTGCAGAAAGTAGTGTTCAGATGACTGCTTTACAGTAGGTCATGCTGATTGAACCACTTTATGAAAATCAAATCCAATGTAAAATCTCGAGCTCGACATGAATCGGCCGTCAAAAATGGAGATTGCTATTTGAATTTAAAGAGGTGACCTCCAAATGACCGCTTATTATTTAGGTCATATTTGAGGAAATAGAAAAAATTCTTTTTTGATACCATATAACATTTTTCATAACCTCTTTTCCAAAAAAATCGTGATTGTCAGGTTTTTGGGGTGTTTAGGTATTTAATAGTATGGTATATTCCTGACCCATGTTAGCAGCAATAAATCTCTATCTGTGTACCTATATATATCTATATCTCTATATATCTGATGTAATGTAGCTTTTTGTATAGTCGGCTTTTTTCTTAAAATGCGTATAAAAAATGGTATAAACATCTTAAATTATAGATGACTAATTAAAATATGTTACAATATATACCTGGTGTACTGGTACGTCTTCGTATGCTGGGCAGGAGTTTTCTAAAAATGCCGCTGAGTGCTGTCCTGAAGTTTTGGCCACTTAAACAGTATAAGTAGAAATTGATTCCAAAACTGGTGTAAAACAGATCTAAAGACCACTGTTGCATGTTTTGGAAAAAGTTCAAGTCGTTGATGTCCACCAATTCAAGCTAAAATATATGGTTTGATATAAAATGTCTTCCTTCACATCACATTTTACAACTGGTGTAAAACAGTTCTAAAGACCACTGTTGCATGTTTTGGAAAAAGTTCAAGTCGTTGATGTCCACCAGTTCAAGCTAAAATATGGGGTTGTCCAAAACGGACGCAGGAAGGTAAACGCACATTAAAACAAGAAAGATTGGTATTCAAATCAAGTTGGGTACTTTATTTTTAAGGTTCATTTATACCATTTATGTATGAAAAATAATATCGCTCAAATGTTCACCACGAGTGGTGGTGGTAGGGGTGTACATTCAAATCCTTGTGGAGAATGCGGAGCAGACTGGTTCTCGAAATGCCCAATTCTTGGGATCGACGCGTTGTTGATTGTTTCGGATCGTCTCTCACACTCTCCTTCACAACAGCAATATTTTCCGGTGTGCGAACGCTCCTTGGCCGGCCAGAGCCTGGCAGATTTGCCACAGAACCTGTTGCCTCAAATTTACGCACCAGGCGACCGATGGTTGTTTCGTTTGGGCGGTTGTTGCGACCGAAATGTTCACGAAGCGCGCGAAACGTGTTTTTTATTTTTGCACCATTTTTGTAGTGCTCTTGAATAACTTTAATGCGGTCTTCAATCGAATACGACTCCATAGCGATCAATGGTAAACATTCAACTAACAAAATGACATGTCGGTGACAGAAAACAAAGATGGCGTCTATGTCAAATTGACGTTTACTTTCCTGCGTCCCTATTGGACAACCCTTTATATGGTTTGATATAAAATGTCTTCCTTCACATCACATTTTACGACAAAAGCAGAATAATTTTTGGGCGAGTCTGCTTTGGAGTGCCCATGCAGTGTTGCCAAACTGTCAGAAAATGTTTACTAACTGCTATATTTATACTTAGGTGAAATAAGTAACAAAGTCTTCTTATCTTTGCATACACCCTATACTCATTTCTACAAAATATGATGCACTCTATTAGCGAACATTTAATTCAGCACTCATTATATAATAATATGTTTATTTGCCATTTTACACAGTTTGAAAATACACAATATGTTTGCAAATATTTATTCTAGTGCTCACAGACGATATACACCTTGTGCGTGAGTTTAAATTATTAGCCTAATAATGAGCAAAATTCCTTGATTAGTATACATTTTATCATTTTTGCCCTGTTTTTTGTTCCTCTGACCATTTATTTTAATTTTGATCTCAGTTGCGAACCACTAGTGAACGTGAAAGAATCAAGCTGTTCGAGGTTAAATGTCATTTTGTCTCTTTAAATAGGCTTGACCAGTGTATCTCTAATTTAATTTGCATTCTCTTTTCTTTTGGCACTCCTCCTCTTTGCTAGAATCCTATCATTGACGTTGAAGGTGTATTCCGTGAGGAGGGTATTATTAAGACTAATGCATTGTGTACACTTATGAATAATGTTCACTACTTAGTTTGCATAATACAAACAACTCTACACCAATACAAGTTAAACACGGCTTGGGGTTAAAATACGTTTCATGTATAAATAGCCTCAAAAAATTAATCGCCTGAATAGACTTTCCTGTATTTCTCATAAGAATGCATAATATCCCCCAACTTGAATACGTTAGCTAAAAAGGTGTTCCATTTTAACCACATATTATTGTATCAAAGACGTACCATGATACAAAATTTTAAGAAACGCTGTGTATACTACTATACCTGTATCAAATATGTCATCATTCTCATTACGTAGCTAGGCAAATTTAATATCAGGAAGACTGTTGACACAATCAGTAGCATTTTCGTTAATTTATTCTGAGAGATGTGACTCCTGTATTTTTTCTCCTCGAACTTGCTTCCGCTAAGCATGGTTTTCCGCAGCATCGATAAGTCTCTCAGGGTTTTTCCAATGGAAACATTCAGGAAGGCGGTCATTGTACCTATAAAAGAATAAATAAAAGACTGAAAGATAGAAGGCAAGCCGGTAGTCACGAGTGTATAGACCTCTTGATGGCCCCACTTTTTGCTAAATTTGACAGTTGTTAAACGAACATAGTGAAGAATAAAAATACGGTAGGTGTTTCAAAGGTCGGTATCTTGGGACCACTATTTTTATTTTATACATAAACGATTCACCTGTCATAGTCAAAAAATGCAAAATTCAAACTTTCGCCGATAACATTACAGTACTTAAAATATTCAGTCAGGTATTTCTTATATAAATGAAAATCTGAATTTTGTTTCAAAATGGGGGGCCTGCTTGTCGGTTTGTGCTGGAATTGTTCAGATATAGAATTCTACGTGTATTGCCCAAATAGATACTTACTCACCATCAAAATATTAAAACCGAAGGTCGGTACCGTTCGTCTATGCATAAAAGTTGGCTATTTGTGGCGTGAATTTATTGGAGGAAATAATCCTACATTCAAGTGTGCGTCTGTCAATAGCGATCTTGCGGGATATTTATTTCCTTTCATCAAAGCAATTACTTCTTGACAGTCGCAAGATTTTACTGATAAATTTTCTTATTTTTGTACCTATCCGCCACACCACACACATCTGTACTTTCGTCATAGCCATAGAAAATTTAATAAAAGGATTATTGGACTATTATCTGCCTATATTCAAAATTGATTCCGACACCAGGATAACTCTGAGTGGGCCTCATGCTGCCCACGGGGCGCATGTTTGATTTGCATGGTCTAGAGCATTTTTTGCATTACAAGACCAGCTACTTGCTGATATTTATTGGCTTGCTTGCTGTCTGGCTATTAGCGTAAATAGCCATATATGCCCTTTGCTTTTATTAAATACAAGACAGGATATGATCGCTTAGACCACTGCTAACAATAACGTGACAACCTTCTGCAGGAAGTGGAAGTTTAGTTTTTGCCTATCCTATGGTTTTCATGCTGATTATTCCCTATGCTTTTCCGTAAATCGCATATGCAGGATTGATACTGCCATTCCGGCCAACTCGCTAGCTTTTTTCATATTACAAATCAGACATGACAATAATAATATATTTTACATTTATCGGCTACTTAAAGATGGAGAATTAGCTAGTTTTACTGCCAAAAATTATTATATACATTTTTTGAACGTACCTGGGAGGATGTAGGCAATCAGAAAATCGATGCTGTTGAAGACGCTAGCTGCTCTGCTCCATTTTGGGTCAATAGTGCAGATTACCGAGCTGTTTCCGAAACGCACTGGACGCGAGAATAATGCCAGAGGAGAGTAGATGACCACGGACGCGATTGTGAGACAACTGACCACGATTCTTGCTCGGTTTTTGGTACATTTTGACTGTAGGGAGAAGGGATACTTCACAGCGATGTATCTGGAGCAAAAAATTAATGTGTGCCTTACTTAGGACTTGTTTTCCAAAACCTTCAAAATTAACCAGGAATCACAAAGACGTTCAAAATATTAGACTGTGACTCGATCAGGTAGGAGTGTTTTGAGCAAGAGCCTTAATATCTCAATGGTCGAGTTGGACTATACGTTTTTGTCTCCAACTTCGAAACTTTATTTGTAATAACTATTTATTTTTCTATTATTAGGGAAGGGCTTTATTGTATTCCTGAAATTGAAAAATAGGCTCTGAAAATATTAGAAATCACAATACTATCTGTTACTGTATGAACATTATTTTCAGGCCGATTTGAATAAAAATAGTTAATGATTTGCACTTTCATCTTACACATAATTCTAAGTAACTCATACCAACCTTTCAAAAGTGAAGGACACGACCAGCCAAATATTTAAAAAACTGCACACCGACGTTAGATACACAATTGACTGACAGAATAAATATCTATTGAACATATCAACACCAATCATTTTAAACCATACCAAAAATAAGCAAAACAAAAATACATTATCGTTATAAGCGAGTATGGCCAGATAGCAGGATGAAGACAAAGTGTTTAACTTTGTGAGTTGGAGAACAAGCACTGTAAGAGTATTCCCCACCGTACCAGTGAACACTAGAAGTGGGATGTAGTAGAATTGAAAAACGGCTATCGCTGACATTACGCGAACAACAACTGGGAAATCGGTGCGTGTGGGAAAGTGTTCCGAGTTTCCAGGACTTGCGCGGTTCATGAACTTTGTCTGCTATACAGGGTAGTGTTGTCCTATTTTTTTTGGGGCCTTTGGGCCCGGTTCAGATTTCTTTGAATCCTCTTGAAAATCGTTGGATATTCTCAGATCTCATTGAGTTTCTTCGTGTCTCCTTGCATCCCCGCTAGTTAAAATCGTAAGAACTCTTTAAAAATTAGGAGGCTCATTAACCATGTATTGGGTTATTTTCAAAAGAAGAATTAATCTATTAACGGGTTATTAGAATTTTTACTTTAAAAAACAACTTACAATAAGCTTGAAGCTCATGTGATTATTTCATAAAATGCTCGGTCATTTCATGAAATGGTAACTGAATTTTCTGCCACTAAAAATGATTTAGAATAACCATTATTACGATATATCAAGCCTTTCGATTGCAACGGCAATATTCAAAATTCAAAATCAAACGGCTTGACAAAGAAACTTTTATATGACAGTGATTTGACATCCATATCCTAGTTTTATGCGGACATTCTGGTCCCGCCTAAGAGATCCGCGGGGTGGTACCTCCTCTTTTGACAGTCAGAGATCTACGAACAATCGCAACATCCATAGCCAAGAGAAAAATTCTCTTGGGACGGGATTCGAACCCGCGGCTACCTGCAGATATTTTCTACATGTTTTTTTACACCGAGGCAGCCGTCTAGGCAGAAGCCTAAATAGCAGGGCACTGCAGCCAAGAATCACTTAATGTGAAGGATATTTTTAATTTATTCAAATATCGTGTGATCAAAGACTGGGAGATATGGTGGAACGACACAATCAAGGAACATGTTTCCTCGTATTGCCATATTTTCCCAAAACCATGCCACGCAATAACAGTTGTACATATAATACGCGATGCCGCTTAATCATATGTAAGCCTAGATTGGGGCATGGTCTATTCCCTCTTCATTTACACAGGATTGGACTAACATACAACCAACAAAAATTATACATTTTTCGTATGCAACAAAAATCTACACGCAACGCAAATCTTGTTGAATAGATTGATTAGTAAATAAATAAAGTATCCATGAACATAACTTTCCTATTGGCCGACGAGGCCAAAAGTAAATTAGACACAATCCTGGAATTTATGAAGATATCGAAAATATTCACGTGAGCCAGTTGTTACAGAAATGTGTAGCCTATTCATAGACAGATGCAGAGATTCTATTGGATATCATTGGATTACCATCGATGTCCTTGGATTACCTGATATGCTTGACCCTCGTAGAATGCCCCAAATCTCCGTAAATTATCTCGCATCTCGTCCTAGAGGAATAAAATAATGAAATCTCCTCCAAAGGCACAGTTTTATTTTAGAATAAAATTTTTGATATAATATAAAGGTGACTTTGATCTTAGATTTTAATAGATAGAATTTTGTTCTTTTGATATCCGGTATCAAAATAGGGAATTCCATTTAGAATACAAAGGTTCAACTTGAATTAGCACTAAAGGTGAGACTCAAGGTTAAATCCAAGGTCACCATTGAACTCTTTGTTCAATGTTAATAAAGCCCTGACCTTGATCCTTTTCAAAAGCACCCTACCTACTAAAATGCACCCGATCCGTTTAGAAATTGTTTGCCCAAGTTTCAAAAGTTGTAATGTATTTCTTTTCTTTAGCTGAAGGCGATAAAGGTAGAAGTACCTTGGACGTAATTCTGGCCACCTCCTACTGCCGATCTCAGACTCATTTATCAAGACAACTGGCTCATTTGCATCCAGAACTAACTATGCCGATGTTTTCTGGTAAGCATCATTCTCACCAGATTAAGTTTTAGCAACTATGCTTTTCGTTCTGATTTTTGTCATCAAAAGTTGTAGCTTTGTTTTTTCTATTCAATTGACATCTTTACCCAGGGACCTGACCTGACTCAAAATTTATTTCTTATTGATATCAGTTTGTGCTAATAACAATGCTATGGAAGTGTCTGCGGTATCAATGGTTTGTTCTAAAGAACATAGGTTTGATTAAACGACAGAAAAAATATTGAGAAGCAAAGTACTAGCTATAATATCTTATATATGACTTCTGACTGATGCCCTTTCGCAGAAATCACGTATCGATTCCAAACAGCCAGACCTGAAGTGAGACAGTTACTCCTGCAATATTTGTTGCCCTGGTTGCATAATATGGAGCTAGTAGATCCAAACATTCCCCCTACCAACACGCATATTTATCAGGTTGGTATCAGAGCACTTTCAACATCAAGGCACGTTTAAATTAGCGCGTTTTTTAGTTTTACGCCAACGAAATGGCTACCTCGGAAAGGAAAGATGGTTGGGGATCTGCAGAAGCAACTGAGATGGTACTCAATAACATCTTCTATATCACAGCTAAGGTAAATAATTCTTTTCTTCGAGATTGATTTTATGTTTCATTTGAAATTTCCTAATTTTATTTTGTATACGATTTCAGTTTGGTGACAGTCATTCCAAAGAAATAGAAGAGGTATGGGGTACACTTTGTACTTCTTGGCCGAATAATATGAAAGTGATCATCAGATATCTCATAATTGTATCTGGTATGGCCCCCTGCGAGCTGTTACCCTACGTAAGTATTTTAATAGGCTAGGTTCCATTTAGTATCTCCAATCGAAGAGAATTCGATCGATATTTTCGAAAAAAAAATATTTTTTTTCATATAAATATACATGGATGACTAAACTCAACCTAATTTTTGATTCAAGGCAAAACGGGTTGTGCTATACTTGGCCAGAGTTCAACCAGTAAGATTGCTGGATGAAATGATGGTTGAACTTCAGACAGTGGAAACGTTGAATTGTCTGATTGAAAGGACTGAAACGCCACCTTTCTATCGCCTAACTGTGATGAGGAAAGCGTCCAGTCATTCCGATGGTACAAATGGAGTTGCAGGGCAGGCCGATTCAACTAGTAGGAACGATATCAGTAAGTATTTGAAAAGAAAAATATATGGGTGAATATACTGCATTTGGGAGTTCAATGTTCCGCAAAAAAAATCAAGCAAATTGATTAATTGTGGAAATGAACCATCAAAATAGTGTAAAATATCATGCTTTATTTGAAACACATGATGAAATTAGGGTTACCATTAAGATTTAGGTACAATATGCTTGAAAATTAACAAATAATTTCCCTGACGTGCTTCATTCCCGACCTTCACTACAAATATCAATAAATCTATACAAATGTAACTGGTATAACAATATACTTTTTTTTGTTGCTAAATACACAATATACCGTATTTTCACGGAAAGAGGCACTGATAAGCGCATAAAAAGACGTTTTTAGTAGTTCCTGAAAATTTGTGCAATTGACGCAATTCAAATTGCATATTCGCTTGTAAATGAGCCAGTTTCGCGGTTTGACCTTGTTCAATGCGTAGCAAATGAATAATTTTTCATTTACACATTTTTTTAATCAATTTTCTGTAATTTTACGTTCTTGTTTATTAAAACTACATCACGATGCATTTTGAGTATTCATAAAGTGACTTTAATTTTACCTTAAACATTCTAAAATTCGAACACTGTATTAATTATTTTGCAGATTTTACAGATGAAAATCTATACTGGATTCGTAGTTATGATAATGGCTATTTAATTTTGTGACGTTTTCTGAATGTGGTGGTAATAAATAATTTTTTAATTTTATTATGAAAATGATAACTAAATAATAATCAATTTTTTACATTCAACCACTGCAGTTATTCTAACATAGATTCATCGCAGCATATTTGTTTTTATTTAAAATGATCCTCATCGCTTTTTTGTAGAATTTGTAATTTTGATAATTTGTTTTCATTTGCTGTAAACAAGATGGTTGAACAATGTAAAAATGGGGAATAATTATAGTGTTATTTTTTATATTTTTGAAATAATGTATCCATAATGCTCTTGAAAGAGTAGTTTACTATCCACATATATACCCAGAGATTTGAATCATTCGACTAGTTCAAGTGTTTCATCATTAATCCATTGACATCCATTTTCTTTTATTAGTGTTTAATATACATTTTTGTTTTTTCTCTGGCAGTGGTTTTTTCTGCTTTTCTTCTTCTTCTTTTTTTTTTTTTTTTTTTTTTTATTTAACAGATAGTACCGCATCAACCTCGTAGGGTTATTAGCGGCGTGGACGGCACAATAATCTATGTATTGAAGTACATGTCAATGTCTTTGATAAATTTCACAAGTTTATCGGTTTGATGCAGTAACACTTCACTGATGTCATTAGAAAGGTGGTTGAGACTTCTGGCATTTTGATAAGTAGGGCACTCCATCAGAATATGAACCACCGTGAGCCGCTGGTTGCACGTTGAACAAACTGGGGCATCGGTTCCTTCGAAGATGTGCTTGTGAGTCACTAGTGTGTGGCCTATCCGGAGACGTGACGTAATTATCTGGTTCCTTCTTCCTGAAGGTAGGGTGAATCGCGTGTTGACATCTGGAGCAATTGCGAGTAGTTTGCTGTGACTGCCATTCCATTTCTGTTGCCAAAGACTGGTTATGTGCACTTTTATTAGTCCTTTCAAATCTTGGTAGGGTGTACGAATCACACTTCTGCTTGAAGGGACTGCCGCTCTTGATGCTTCTTTGTCAGCCTCTTCGTTGCCTGGTATTCCAGTATGCGAGGGTACCCACAGAAACTTTATCCTCTTCTTGTCGTTGTACAGCAGACGCAGCATGTCCTTAATTCCCCTGAGTATGCAGTTGCGAGGGTACAACTGTTTGATACCTTCCAGTGCACTCAGCGAATCCGTCACTACTAAGAAGTTGGCATCTGTTATTGTTCGTGCCAGATTGAGCGCTTCCTTGATGGCTGTCAGCTCTCCAGTGTAGACGCTGCAATGTTGTGGTAGTGAAGAGGATATTCGTTGATTGTCAGAGACTGCGGCATAGCCAACCCCATGTGATGACTTTGAGGCATCTGTAAAAATCAGTTTGAAGTTCGGATGAGACTCGATGATGACTTGGTATCTGTTATATATTTCTCTATGGTTGGTTTGCATTTTTTGATATATCTTGAGGGTTGTGTCGAAATCTGGTAGTGGTACTGTCCAGGGTGGAGAGTTTGATGAACAAGGGATAATACTGCGAAAGAGATCTGAATTGAAGTTAGTCTCTTTGATTCTTTCTGCCATTGTGAAATGTTTGGTGTTGTGGGAAGAATGAGTATCCTCTCGGGTAAATATGACGTTGAAAGCTGGATTATTTGGTGTGCTTGCTGTTCGCGCCGCGTAGCACAGAGTTAGATATTGTCTTCGGAGGCTTAGAGGCGGTTCGTTAGCCAAAACGTATATGCTGTCAATAGGGCTTGTGTTAAGAAGTCCCATTGCGAGTCTAATTGCTGTGTTTTGGAGCACATCAAGTTTTTTTAATACAAATTGGCTTGCAGTTCCATAGCAAATGCTACCGTAATCTATCTTACTCCTTATGGTGACTTGGTATAGTTTTAGCAAAGATATGGTGTCGCTTCCCCATGATTTATTAGCTAGTACTTTCATGAGGTTTAATCTTCTCTGACATACAGATATTATATGTCTGATATGGAGATTCCATTTTAAAGTAGAATCAAATATCATCCCCAAATACTTGATGTTGTCTGTCATTTTGATTTCGTTATTATTAAATGTAAGGGCTGTGTTGGTTGTTTGAAGTTTGGATTTGCTGAAGATTATAAACTTGGTCTTGTCAGCTGAGAATTGGAATCCTGATTCCATGGTCCAGTGTTCTATTTTATTAAGTGTTTCTTGAATTATTGCTTTGCCGGTGTATATGTTATTAGTGGTTAGGTATATAATCAGGTCGTCGGCATATAAGAGATATTTTATAGGCAGTTTAAAAAGTTTGGTTATGCCATCTATGGCTATCAGAAATAGTGTAGTACTCAGCACAGATCCTTGAGGTGTACCATTTTCTACGCTCTTAGTATTGGATGTGAAACCGTTTGTTCTAACTTTTATAGTTCTGTTATTTAAAAAGTTCTTGGTGAATGCTAGTATGTCACCACAGATACCCATATTCAGCATAGTTTTCAGAATTAGATGTTTCCAGGTCATATCAAATGCCTTATGTATACAGAAGAATACTGCAAGTACTTTTTGGTTATTAGCAAAGGCTGCTTTTATGGTCGATTCAAGAACAACAATGTTGTCAATGGTAGATCTGTTGCTACGAAAACCATTCTGATTATTGCTCAATAACATTTGTTTTTCTAGAAACCATACTAACCGTTTGTTGAGGATTTTCTCAAGCAGCTTACACATAGTACAGGTAAGGGATATGGGCCGGTAAGAATTGGGTATATCTTGAGGCTTGTTTGGTTTCAGAAGTGGAATTACAATCGCTTCACTCCATATGCTTGGAAATTGTCTGGATCTAAGAATGAAGTTGTATATATCTTTTAGCATGTGTTTAGCATTGGATGGGAGATTTCTTAAGAAAATATATGGGATGTCATCACCTGGACATGAACTTGTTGATGTAGTTAGTGCTTCCTCGAGTTCTTCAATAGTGACAGCGTGGTTAAGTGGTCCATCGTCGTCGGGTACAATTAAGTTTTCTTCTTCAGTCTGAAGCTTGAGATGTAAAAATGAGCCATCTAGGTTGTCGTTACTGGATGATGCTTGATAGAAGTTAGCAAAGATTTCTGGAATCTCGGCTTTCTGGGAGACTATTTTCCCTTCGACTGTTACTGTATCTATTTCTTGATACGTTCGTGCACCACTAATTTTCCTTATCTTCTTCCACATTTCCGATACCGGGGTTGAGGGTTTGATGGATGATACGTATGATTGCCAAGATTGTTTTTTGTTTTTCTTGATGAGATACCTAGCTTTGGCTCTGAGCTTCTTGAAGTTGCATAAGTTCTCCTGTGTGTTATGTCTTTTGAGCTTATTGAATGCGTGTTTGCTGTCTGACAGTGACTGTGAAATTTCATTGTTCCACCATGGAACAGGTGTTTTGTTTTTTAGGGGCTTCGTTTTACCTACAGCTACAACAGCAGCCTCCTTCATCATGTGGGTGAAGTTGTTTAAAGTTATATTAATATCTGCTATTTCTATTGTGTTTATTTTTTCTTCAACTAAAAGTCGATACTCGCACCAATTAGAACCTTCAATTTTCCATCTTTGTGGTGGTAATGAAGTAACTCTGTTGTCTCTACTGTGAGCTATTCCAATCGGATAATGATCACTGTCATATAAATCTGGTACTGTACTCCATGAGAGAAAAGGTGCTAGGGAGGCGTCACAAAGAGATAGATCAATAGATGAGAAACTTCCGTTAAAAGCATTAAATCTAGTGTTGCAGCCGTTATTCAGTAGAATTAGGTTGTTTTGATCAATAATGCTTTCCAGGTTTGCACCATATTTATTAGTACAGTCTGATCCCCAGATTACGTTGTGGCTATTGAAATCACCTACTATTATTCTGGGTGTAGGGATTTGTTGGATCAGATTGTGTATCAGATTGAAATTTATATCTTTAGGGTGGGGTATGTATATGTTGCAAATGTTTACCTTGGTGTGATGTTTGATAGTTACAGCTATTGCTTCTAACGGTGTAGTTATTGGTAGTTGTTCTGTATGAATATTGGTCCTAGTTAGTATGGCTACACCTCCAGCTGCTTTTCCTTGATCTTCACGATTCTTGTAGAAACCTTTATAGTTTCTAGGTGCATAATCGTTTTTAGTGTGTTTAAGGTGGGTTTCCTGGAGACATAAAACTGAAGGATTTTGGTCTTTTATTAGTAAATTAAGTACTTCTTTATGTCTTCTTCTTCTATTTTCCACTTTTTGTCGTTTTTTTACAATATAAATTGTAAACTATAAAAAAAATCTAGCTTCTAAAAACAAACCTCACTCTAAAGGATTGTGAGCTTTCAATCTATACGATCCTCTTGTTTCAAGACCGACGGAACTGAATATTTGTTATTTTTAATAAGGAACTAATTTATTTAGCTAATGGTGTTTATATCATGCTTAAAGTATATTTTTCATATCCAAAACAGCACCCCCCTAGACATATCTTTCCCTGGTAATTAAAAAGCTGTCAAAGCAAAAATATCTGACCCTGTCAAAAGTTGTCACGTAATAAATACAAAAACAAAATAACATATTTTTCTTAGTTGACAATGCTAAACCAAATATCGTATATTCACCTATATTTATGATGGAACGGATATCTCTATTCAAAATGTATATATTGCATAGATCACAATAAATCATTTTTGCAGGTATAGAAAAGGGAACGATCCACACCAAAAGACACAGTGGTGAGGATCCGTCCAAAACATCTATAATCGCCAAATCTGATTCAGGAACCAATGTATTTTCTGACTTCACTATGGCGCGTCCCGAAAAGCTGAGAAATCAAGATGACATGACAAATTCTTTAGAGGAGGTACGCGATATTGTTTGTTCTTTTTCGATAATGTACTAATCTATTTTTCACAATACTCCAACATATTATTTTGACGTCTATTTAAGTGCCTCCTTATATTCATTTTGTCAGTACTGAACCTGTGGACATTCAAAAGTGAACGAGCAAATATCTTGATTAAAATTTATTCCATACTTGAGTCTAAATATGATCATGATCATTCGCTGGTATATCAATTGTATACCAAAACATTCCTAATTACTCTAAATCAACACACGTAGAAAAGCTTTGGTGTCGCCCGGAAGTAAGCAGTACAAGGTACGCTTCTGTTGCTTAATGGTATGAAGTATTTTGAATGTCACTAAATAATCAGCTGTTATTTGTTATTACATTTTGTCGTTTTGAAGAATCGTGGACGTGGCTGACTGAAATCAAGAGACAAATGTTTACCAAATCTTAGGAACGAAAAAAAAAAATTATGAAAACAAAATCGATAGCAATAAAAATAACAGTAATATGATGTGGAAGACACTAAAAAATATTGTATCTCCCAGTAGGCAAAATGAATGATCAAGAATATGTTTCGAAGATGGTATAGTAACACAACAAATATTGATTGCAGAACGAATGAACGCTTATTTTATAGAAAGTATAAATAAGATAGTGGAATCAATCGAAGACGGGGATCCAAATCTATGTCACATGCAAGTTACTCGTAATTCTTCTATGAGACAAGTCATTGAATATATTGAGGAAAATAAGATATTGACAAAATTGTAAGCAGGATACAGAAAAAAGTATTCTACTGAATCAGCAATTCTAACGGTAGTAGAAGAATAGAGGCGAAATATGTTTACAGTAACATTGTTCTTAGAATTCAAGAGAGCATTTGAGACTATTGACAGGGAGAAATTGTTAACTAAATTGCATTGCTATGGATTTCAAGCTTCAGTATTCAACTTATTACAAAATTATGTAATCAATAGAAGTCAAAGAACTAAAATTTTCAATACATTATAAAACATTAAAAACATTTCGGTAGGTGTGCCACAGGGTAGCAAATTAGGTCCATTACTATTTATTTTATATATTAACGATATTCCTGATATTTTACAAAATCTAACTATTTGCTGATGATGCATTAACATATATATATACAGGGTGACTGAAGTTTAGTCATTAATTTTCAGATAATGATTGTAGAAGGAAGATAAACCAAAATATGTGTGTAAAAATAAAAAAAAATTAAAAAAAAAAATTTTACCTTGTTTTATAAAGTATCCTCCCGACAAGTATTTCAGTGCAGACCTGTATTTGATCGTGAGGTCTTGGAGCACCGGCATGCCGTCCCCTGTGAGGTCTTAAGTCACCTGATTCACGAGCCCGTTGTACTACATTAACAAAGGCACGAGGGGTTGGTTGCACTCGATTGGGAAACCGATCCGCATAAACATGTGCCATTTTTTATTTCGTTTGAGCCATGCAACAGACACCACTATTCACTCACGCGTTACCGACTGACACTGACTGTATACAACAGAATAAAATAGCTGTAAAAACATCGTTCCAAATTCTTTCGCTTTTTTGTTTCCGATGCGATGAACCGATAAGGCGGATTATATCCGTTGTTGCCAAACACGAGCACATAATATTATTATTGAGACAGGGCGGTACTCAAACTTCCAAAGGGCTATAACTTTGTTACTTTAATTTTACCAGAAAAATGGTAAAGGAAAAAACATTTCTTTTGATCAGATCTACTCACTGTTAAAATAAATGACTCAACTTCGAGGTCACCCTATATATATATATATATATATATATATATATATATATATAAAATCAAATAAAGACATTGAAACTGCAATAGAGCTGTTAAATAATGATATGAAAAACGTAATAAATTGGTTAAATGTAAATAAACTTTTACTAAACACAGACAAAACAAAATATATGCTAATAGAAAAATCTTCAGATCAAAATACGATAAATGTTACAATTAATCATGAAAAAATTGGGTCAATCGAATTATTTAAATATTTGGGCATATACTTAGACAGTAAATTAAAATTTGAAGGGCACTATGAAAATATTATTTCAAAAATATCCCAGAAAATAAATTAATTTTACAGAATTTCGCATAGCCTAAGCGTATATTCTAAAAAAAATCTGTACAGCACTATCATTCTTTCTCATTTGTTATATTGTTCGAATATTTTGTTCACTGCAAAATGAAACTGTATTTTAAAAATTACAAATAATACAAAATAAAGCTATGAGATTCATCTTAAATAAAAATAAATATACTAGAATAAATTTTATGTTGAAAGAACTACAATGTTTAAATATCAAAAATTTCATAGCCTACTTGGTTTTCATTTTCATATTCAAGTTAAAAAATCATGTTCTACCAAATCCCTTAGAAAATTTTATTGTATTGAACAATGAGTGCCACAATTATTCTACTAGAGGAAGTATAGACTTTCATTTACAAAAATGCAGTAGCATTATAACGAGCAAGTCAGTATTTCAAAAGGGATTGTACGAATTTAATAAATTAATGATATCAAGATGTGCGTCAGTTTGAAAATATTTAAAGGGAAATTGAAAAAATATCTCATGGAAAACCAGAATTCAACGTAGTGAAATTTTGTATAAAAATATGTAGTCTTGAAGGCATAATATATTTTGTGAAATACTGTGTAATATGGATATTATGGTAGCATTAATGCTAAATAAATCTGAAACAAACAAATTAACTTACAGGTGGCTATAGAAGAAGATGTACTCTTAAGAGAAAAGGTTGACGTATCGTTGTCACAGCCTCATCCTTTACCAATGCCCGAGTTTGGGGGTTACTTTGCACCTCTGACAGAATATTTGCCTGATAGCTCGCAACCTATATCAGGCTTCCATAGGTATGATATGATTACGTAGAATAATAATAAATTGAAAAATCGACGGATCCTTGTCATTACATCCTTGGCATTACTGTTTTCAGGTGTAATGTTGGTGTTATGCTTATGTGCGACATAGTTGTAGACGGTATAGAATTAGACTGGACCGTACATGTACCTCTTATGCTGCACATCCTTTTCCTGGGTCTGGACCACAACCGTCCTTTAGTCTATCAACATTGCAAGCAGCTGCTGTTGAATCTACTGATTGTTTTGGCCCAACATAATGATCACTTGACTGTGGCTCATATACTGCTCAACAGTAAAACTAGACAGTTGGGCTTGGGTCTGTCTACCCCGACTTTATCATCGGTTGTTCAAACTAACTTCACAGGTGAGTTTTATAACACAATTTCATATTATCTGTCTCTAGCAAATTCTTTAAGTCATGTCACACTGCAAAATAACGCCCTTTTTCAGAATCTGATTCCTTGTTCAACGAATTCCTGCATCACCCTGCTGCAGTTAGCAACGCCGTGGAGCCAGCTGCTAAACCTGTTACGCAACCTTCTCCAGCAAAACTGGAAGAACAAGGTAGGCAATATTACAGAATGTTTACGCCATAGACTAAGACGTACTGACATTTTAGTTTCATATCAATGAAAACATTGTTTTCTTTGTTCCCGCCTTCTTACATTTGTGCATATCGTTTGTCGAACTTCCTTTTCAAATGACTTTCAAGTCAAAACGTAAATTAGGCTTGCAAAAATTCCGACAAAGCTGAAAATTGGTGCAAGACCTTGAATGCACCATTATGATTAATATATTAAATTTCCTCATATATCCTGGGAGCGAAACTTTGTTCTGTTTGGGTTGAAATGTCAAAAATATCACGTTTTGTCATATGGAAATTGGAAAAGGAAAGAGATGTCATAACAATACTTCCTATTTATACAAAGTGCAGAGAATATAATTGTCTATAAAAATTGTTCAAGTACATTTTTTTTGACATTTCGTAAGTTTTTCTACAAGATGTTTTGTTAATCGTAGCAAGCTAACCCGGAATGAACTATTTGAACACTAAAAAATACCTAGTCCTCAAGATGACATTTCGTCGTTTTTTTTTTTGTTTTTTGGGTTTTTTACATAATAGTGGTGCCGGTTGCTACAGGTTTACAGCGTATGTAAAAAAGTGTCTCTGATTTTTCTAAAAACGCATTTCATGAACAACCAAATGTTTGTATACAAAACAATTGCACGCGTCTTGAAAAAAGAATTTAATCCGCACCAATCAAAGGGAAGTCGTATTTTCGGATAATTTTCATTTGGAGCTTACATGTCAAAATTACCATTTTTTATATTTATCTGGAACGGTACCAGTAACCACAAAACTAGCTTACACTAGAATTGTAGAGCTTACAGTTTTCTATAAAACTTGACCAACTTTTTGAGCTCCTGTTTATGCGTTCTTTCATTTATAGGATCTAAGCAACTACTACGGCTATTTGATATAAAATGAGATATGAAAGCAGCGATTTTTGTATAAGGTATTTTTTGTGGTAGTTCTTTCCCTTTTAGTGAAATATGACAAACAGGACATTTTTGACATTTCAACCAAAAAGGTTTCTCTCCAAGAATATATGAGAAGTTTTGATATATTAGCCATAATGATGTATTTAAGGTATGTATCAATTTTCAGCTTTGTGGGAATTTATGCAAACTTGCAATAATTTTGGTTTTTATCTGGACGATTTATTGTTTTTCCGGTATGTAGTTATTCGTCATTAAATATTTTTCGAACGTTTCAAAATACCTGGAGAACGCCAAGTTTACTCGACTCCATTTTTTTTTTCAGGAGAAGAGAGGGAAGTGGTAGTACCCCAGGTCATAATCATTCCAGAGAATGCAGAACCACCTCCAGCCAAAGTGGAACTGACGGTGCCTGTGATCATCAAATCTCTGATCCAGTTTTTAGCTACTAGACAAAATGCGCCATTGTGGAACTACGATGATATTACCGCCAAGGTGTGGACGATTAAGAGTGCCGAGCAGATCGACGTCTTCATGCAATATATTCTGAAGGTATCAATAATACTTTTCCAAATGTTCCTTTTTCGTGTTCCTACTAACCGAGAAATTTGAATCGTTATTTTTGCCGAGATACAGTAAAAGGGCTGCTAACATCCATGGCTATTTCAAGCTAGAGATCTTTCATAGTAACATCGATTTTTGACAATATTTAACTCCCTTTTATACAGGTTTTCACTTACTCACTTCCTAACGCCCATATCAACGAACGTTGGGCACAAACAGCCCTACAGTTAGGACTGAGCTGTTCTTCCAGACACTACGCTGGAAGGTCATTGCAGATCTTTAGATCGCTGAGGGTTCCAATCAGTTCCAGAATGCTGTCGGATATATTGAGCAGGCTTGTGGAAACTGTCGCTGAGCAGGGAGAAGATATGCAAGGTATGACAATCTTGAACTAGAATTTATTGTCTATACACACACCTTTACACATTTTCTGATCATATTACGAAAGAGTAGCTCCTCATGGTTTTTGCGTGATGCATTTAGATGAGTTCAGTTACGTTTTTTACAACCCACGAGTGAAAAAATGAGGATAAATTGCATCATTAGCTATTAAAATAACAATTCTGTCGATGTTGCTAGTCCAGGGTTCAAAAACATTGTTAAAGCAATGGATTGCCTCATTATGTCTATTTCTCTGTGTCTAGGTTATGTGACCGAGCTGCTGCTCACCCTCGAAGCTGCCGTGGAGTCCCTGGAATCGGACTTCCGGCCGTTGGATTTGATGAAGGATTTCTTCAAGTCAACCCCTAACCTGAACAACAAAGAGCTAAAGCGCAACCCCGAGGGATCCCCAACTAACGTGGCTGGAGGTGTGTCGCTGTGTAGCCATCCTCCTGCAGGTCATGCAAGGAGCACTAGCTACTCTGTTTCGTACGGATTCAGGAAGAACGCGCCTTCGTCAGATGTCAAGGAGCGGAATAGGCATAGTAATGAGATCGACCATCGCAGTGTTACCAAGTTTGCCAACAATCTTTCTCGGTAAATAATTGAAGAAATTAATAAATTAACTTATATCTATTTTTATTAAAGTCAAGTTAAATTTAGAATAAATACAAATCAAATTAAATTTAAACTTAAATTAAACTTTATATTAAATTCAAATTATTTTGAATTAAATATAAATTAAATTTAAATTAAATTTGAATTAAATTTAAATCAAATTAAAATTCAATTTAAATTCAATTAAATTTAAAGCGAATTTAAATTCAACAATATTTCTCGGTAAATAATTGAAGAAATTAATCAATTAACTTATATCATATTTTTATTAAAGTCAAATTAAATTTAGAATAAATTCAAATCAAATCAAATTTAAACTTAAATTATACTTTATATTACATTCAAATTATTTTGAATTAAATATAAATTAAATTTAAATTAAATTTGAACCAAATTTAAATCAAATTTAAATTCAATTTAAATTCAATTAAATTTGAAGTAAATTTAAATTCAATTAAATTTAAAGCAAATTTAAATTAAATTTATATTAAATTTAAATTGAATTTAAATTAAATTTAAATTGAATTTAAATTAGATTTAAATTAAATTTAAATTAATTTAAATTAAATTTAAATTAAATTGAAATTAATTTAAATTAAATTGAAATTAAATTTAAATTAAATTTAAATTAAATTTAAATTAAATTTAAATTAAATTTAAATTAAATTTAAATTAAATTTAAATTAAATTTAAATTAAATTTAAATTAAATTTAAATTAAATTTAAATTAAATTTAAATTAAATTTACATTAAATTTAAATTAAATTTAAATTAAATTTAGATTAAATTTAGATTAAATTAAATTTAAATTAAATTTAAATTAAATTTTAATTAAATTTAAATTAAATTTAAATTAATTAATTAAATTTAAATTGAATTTAAATTGAATTTAAATTAAATATAGATTTGCAGAATTTTTATTACCTTTATTTTTTTTGCAGGTCTAGGTCAGCCCAGAGCTTGAAAATGCTAGGCGATACAGCAACTCAAGATGACAAACTGACAATACTCGCTCAGTTATTCTGGTTGGCGGTTTCTCTCCTAGAATCTGATTACGAATATGAGTTCCTTCTAGCCGTAAGACTTTTAGCGAGTGTGATGCATAGACTACCGCTAGATAGACCGGATGCCAGAGATAAGGTGGAGAAATTACAGTCTCAGTTAAGATGGACATCATTTCCTGGAGTTCACGCATTATTGCTTAAGGTATACTTGTCATTTTAACGTCTTAAAATTCTAGCATATTGAAACATAGCTTAAGTGAATATCGCTATTTAAACTACAGGAGTCTCACAGAACACAAGTGTAGAGAAATTAGTAACATTCCAATATAATACGGTCTAGCGGCATTCAAGCATTTTTCCTATCTCGTAAGTTGTTAGTTGCCAAACATACGCACTGTTGCGGGTGCGTTCATCAGAAAAAATTTACACAGGTTACTATCCTCCCACGATGGTACGGTGGTATGTGTCAATGAGGTGGCGTGGCGCAACTAGAAAGCGATTGGAGATACCTTACCTATCCGGTTTGTTTCAATTTAACGCCGCCAGATGGAGCATCAAAGCAGCTTGAGAGAACAAAGAGGCAGTGGCGTGGGTAGGGTTGAATTTGGCAGATGGTGCTGTAGACTGATTGGTTAGGTCAGCTCTACTGAATTAAGGAGATGCGGATTCGAACCCCGCCGGCGCCCATTATTCCTATTTCTCACGTTGTTTATTGAAAAGTGTTATTCCAAAAGTTAGAATTACTCTCTAAGTTTGAGGTAGGAACACCATATCCATGGTTACTTTATTTTTTGTGATGTTATTTTAGGGTTGCACTCATCCAAACATTTATGAACCTGTGGTGGCTCTGCTGGCACAACTGACCCCTTTGTTGAATTTTGCTGTGATAGATCCATCGCAAAGCATTGCTTTTCCTATGAACGTGATGGCCCTACTACCATATATGCTTCTTAACTACGAAGATGCCAATGAGCTGTGTATCAGGGCTGCTGAGAATATTGCACAGGTAAGAAACAAAAAAAAATAATAAAAATAGTTACATGATTTTTTATTACACGTTTTGTTGTAGTATTGTTGTAATACTATATTCACACTATCCCAAGGTTGGGGAACAATGAGTTCTATAGCGAGAAACGGAAAAAATATTCCACTGCATCAGAAAAAAATGCTGTCCTACCAAATACTAAAAAATAGAGAGGGAAATGTTTTCTTACCTAAAAAATATTGCAGGTCAGCATTGAAAAAAGCAAGAAACTAGAAAACTTAGGAACTGTGATGAACCTCTACAGTCGACGAACGTTCAGCAAGGAAAGTTTCCAGTGGACGAAATGTGTTGTGAAGTACCTTCACGATACCTACTCCCATTTGGGATTGAATATGCTCTCTTTCCTTATAGAAATTTTAGAAAAAGGACCTAGCAATCTTCAGCTACCTATACTGAACATAATACACTGCATCCTTCACTATGTTGACTTAGGCACTACGGCTGCTCAACCAGTTAATACAGATCTCCTGAAGGTTAGTGTTTATAAAAAATAAAATATTTTTTAACCATCCAAAGAATGACTTTTTTGCTTCTTGTGATAGAGAAGTATCCCTAATATTATCAGCATCAATGTCAGTGAATAGAATAGTGTTCCAAAATATTTAAAATATCTGCTTACTTGGCGAGCAACGCCAGTCAGTCATAGAACTAAAAAAAAAACAATGTTAGTAGTCTCGATCCTATATCATAGCATAATGTTTCAAAGTTGGGACGTCTAAATATTACAGTTGTAAGACTCATCTGTCAGTGTGGGCTCAGTTGATAACTGTTTTTACGCATGTCATTTAAAAAAGTTGATTACAAAAATTAGCCAACAGTATGCTCGTTGCTTGGAAAATATGTTTTTTTCTACAGGGTTACACGTAACTACGTGGTGACCCAAACATTCAGTAGCGGACAAAAGTTTGGAAACATTCTTAGTAATTTTTAAAAATAGCGCTAATTTTATATTCTTCATTATTAAGGACTATTTGTTTTCTCATATAGTTTGCTTACAGTCTTGAGGATACAAATGGCAATTTGTGTTTGCTGGGGTACTACGGACCAGCATTAAAATTCCTTCATATTATTTTATGACCTAAAATGAGACGACAAAAGTATGGAAACATATTTTTTATTACAAAATTAAATACAATAACTCTACAAAAAGATTTAAAAAATTCTGTTTAGCTAATATTTGGTAGCATAGCCTTTAGCATTCAATACTGCCTGACATCTGCTGCTCATAGAAGACACCAATTTTTTCAGACCTCTGTTCTGATATTTTGCCAAATATTTTTTACATAATCGTTCCTATTTTTAAAAGTTTTTTTTTGTTAGTTGGCTTCCAGAGATGTTCTGTAGGGTTTAGGACCGGGGATTGCGAAGGCCATGCAAGAACATTAACATTTTTTAGTCTTAACCAGTCCTTTACGAATTTTGAGGTATGTTCAGTGTCATTATTTCCGGTTGATAGAGAAGTATCCCTAATATTATCAGCATCAATGTCAGTGAATAGAAATAGTGTTCCAAAATATTTAAAATATCTGCTTACTTGGCGAGCAACGCCAGTCAGTCATAGAACTAAAAAAAAAAAAACAATGTTACTAGTCTCGATGTTATAACATAGCATAATGTTTCAAAGTTGTGACGTCTAAATATTACAGTTGTAAGACTCACCTGTCAGTGTGGGTTCAGTTGATAACTGTGTTTTTAAAAAAGTTGAGTACAAAAATTAGCCAACAGTATGCTCGTTGCTTGGAAAAAGTGTTTATTTCTATAGGGTTATATGTAACTACGTGGTGACCCAAACATTCAGTAGCGGACAAAAGTTTGGAAACATTCTTAGTAATTTTTTAAAATAGCGCTAATTTTTTATTCTTCATTATTAAGGACTATTTGTTTTCTCATATAGTTTGCTTACAGTCTTGAGGATACAAATGACAATTTGTGTTTGCTGTGGTACTACGGACTAGCATTAAAATTCCTTCATATTATTTTATGACCTAAAATGAGACGACAAAAGTATGGAAACATATATTATATTACAAAATTAAATGCAATAACTCTACAAAAAGATTTAAAAAATTCTATTTAGCTAATATTTGGTAGCATAGCCTTTAGCATTCAATACTGCCTGACATCTGCTGCTCATAGAAGACACCAATTTTTTCAGACCTCTGTTCTGATATTTTGCCAAATATTTTTTACATAATCGTTCCTATTTTTAAAAGTTTTTTTTGTCAGTTGGCTTCCAGAGATGTTCTGTAGGGTTTAGGACCGGGGATTGCGAAGGCCCTGCAAGAACATTAACATTTTTTAGTCTTAACCAGTCCTTTACGAATTTTGAGGTATGTTCAGGGTCATTATTTTGCTGGAATGTCCATCGTAAAGGCATTTCTTCTTCAGCAAAAGGGAGCATGTGTTTACTAACAGTATCTTTGTATAGTTTTTGATCCATTTTCCCAACAATTTTAACAACTGGATATGTCCCACAACTAGAAAAACCGCCCCAAACCATGATATTGTCTCCACTGTGTTTAACTGTTGAAACTGATACTTTTTGTCGAATCTTTTTCATATTGGACGTCTCATATATGCCGTACCGTCAGATCCAAACAAGTCGAATTAGCTTTCATCGCTCCATAAAACTATATTCCATTGTTGTCCTGTCCAAGTTAGAGGAGTTTTAATAAATTCAAGCCGAGCAATAAGATTTTTTTTAAATGAGAGGCTTTTGCACTGGGCGCCCACCAAAAAGCCCAAAATCCACCAAGCGTCTCTGCTTTTTTCTCACAGACACCCTGTTCAACGATTCTTTTGAAAATCTGTGTGGCTGGCATTTGAGGATCTTCATGGGACAAACGTTTAATGTAGCAATCCAAAACATAATCGATTTTTGTCGATCTCCCGCACCTAAGTCGCGTTGCTGATACTTTATAATAATTTTCGAAATCGTCCCTTTGTCCATTTTTAATCATTGAGAAATGTCAAAATTTCTGACACCACTTCTAAATAATTCAATTACTGTGTCTCTTACATCTTTTGAAAACTCTTTTACTTTTGCCATTCCTATTGATGTTAATATTTACCGCACGCAATACCAGAGTATCGCAGAACGAATATATACGGCAAAACTGAAATGTTTCCATACTTTTGTCCTTACAAAAACTCTGGTATTTAAAACAACGCGTGTTCTTCTTTTCAGAGAATTTGAATGTTGATAAGGTAAACCTTGTATTAGTACGGGAGTCAAAGGTAGGCTTTAATATTTATATTATCTGTTCCTTCACAATTTTAATTTAGGTATATGAAATAGTTCATAATAATTTGTTTCCAAACGTTTGTCCGCTACTGTACATTTTTTAAATGGAAAGACCTACATGTTATTTCAGATTCGGACATTTCCTTTGAAACGAAGCTATTTGATATAACATGTTAGAAGGATATAGGGTTTTATTTCTAAACTGTTTAGATACTGAACAAAAAACACACATAACTTTGACAACTAGCACCTCCAAAAGTGTTACGGTTAAACTACTGAATTTTCCTTCAGAGGAATTCCACGTTCCCAATTTTTCTTCCGATCCACTTTCTACTTCAGTTTTTTCGACTATACAGAGTGGTCAAGACCGCAAAATGAAGGGTTTATGAAAATTTTGAAATGGAACATCATGTATGGTTTTGTATATTTTCCCAATTTTTGATCTCAGTTTTCACAAACTTTTTTGATATATAAAAATATGGGAGTTTGAATGAATGGTTTTTGAGTTCCAGTTAACCTTTTTGTGAATGGGATATCAATGAAAAATACTTCAATATCTTTTAAAATAAAAATAGCATTTAGTTAGTAACGGTGTATGGTAAAATTTGTGTATTTTCATTATAAATTAAATCCATCTCACGTCACGCAAAGTCGGAAAGTCAATGAGTTCTTATGTTCTTAGTATCCCAAATCCAGTTGTACGAACCCCCCTAAACCTTATATCAGAAAAAGCCTGTGAAAAGAACAACCAAATAGTGTGAAAATATATATGGTGTTCCATTTGAAAATTTTGAGAAGCCGTCCATTTGGCATTCTTGACCAACCTGTATAAACTAACCAAAAAGCTGTAAAACTAGATAGGGAGAAAATGTGGAATTTATACATTTTTTCTGGCCCACAATTTAGTTCTTTGGCTATAAGAGTTGCGAAGGTGCGAGTCGTCAAAATTGAGTGTTTTTTTAACGATAGATTACCCAATATCAATCAATTTGAATTTAAAGCCCTGTAGTATGTTATATTGTTTTGTTTGGTATGGCATCTCCCAATCTGCAATAAAATGTAAGTCTTTCCAGTTGAAAAAAATGTTGGTTTCGGTCACTGTGTAGTTATGATTCACCCTGAAAAAATGTAAGTAATTTCTAAATCAGAAGCATATTGAAAGCTATAATTTTTGTATTTAACTTTTTTGAATACCATGCGTAATAACGGAATTAACGCTCATATAAAGCTCACCCTGAATGTGAGGGTCACTTTTCCTGTACAAAAATGCCTCAAAAGTGTCAATGCGTCGACTTTTTTTACTCTCAAAATTAATACCAGTCATCCTATCATGCAAGTTCTGGTATTAAACCGCCTTATTTGATTTTTAGCCTTTCTGAATATACCATTAGAATATTTGTTCTCGTTAAAATGTTTTTCTACGACAGGTCATAGTGAAATACATCGAAGGCCCGAACTGGAAGGAATCACTGAAGATCCTGAAACTGGTAGTAAGCAGGTCCAGCTCGCTAGTAGCACCACCAATCACAATCCACTCACACTGGGAGAGCTCTCTAACGTCGATGCCGCACCCGTCGTTCAACGACGACAACATCTTCGCGAAGAAGGAGTTGCCTGGCAGAACGATGGAGTTCACGTTCGATATGTCACAAACACCTGTCATTGGCAGGAAATATCTGCATCAGAAGGGCGATAAGGACAAGGCGGACGAGGCTGGTGCAGCTAAGGCGGCAGCGGCTACACCCAGGAGGTCGTGCTCAATCAGCCCCGCGGATGGATCGCCGCTGTCAGGGTGGAAACGGCCTTGGATGAGTCAGGTGAGTGGAAGCATGGGCGTTCATATAGCAACAGTCAAGGAGGGGCCCAGAATTGAGTGAGGGGAGAAGCAGTTTTGATTCTCTATCGTGCTTATTAATTTTGTTTTTTTTAATTTCTAGGGTCGTGTTAGGGAATGCTTGGTAAACCTCCTAACAACGTGTGGCCAGAGAGTTGGATTGCCGAAGAGCCCGTCGGTAAGTCTGTTGGATATACACTTTAAGAGATATGTCATTGAAACAATTCTTTATTTTCAGGTGATATTCAGTCAAACTTCAGATCTGATAGAAAGACAATCAAGCATGGCGTCTAGCACTGAAGAGATGTCAGGCAATCATGACATGAGCGGTGGTTCAAGAAGAGATGAAGCTGCCACTGAGTTTGGAGTGTTCAAAGACTTCGATTTCTTGGAGTACGAGAGCGAAAGCATTGAGGTAATATTTGCATTTTTATCGGATGAATAAGCTTCACCTTTAGGCATTATCCTCCAGAATACTGGAACCCATACAATTTTTTTTATTAAAATGAGCAGGGGCTACTGAAACGTCAAAAAACAAAGTCAACATCCAAGCGGTATTTTCCTAGTTGTTGACAGGCCAATGATTAGCGGACAGACAAAAACAAACTATTTCATTTTAGAAATACTTCTTGATTATAATACTTCCTTGCCACTGGTATGGGAGGCAAATTGCAAGATGTTTAAATACTTGATGAATAATGATTTTGTTTGACTATGCACTTTTTTGACTTTTCAGGGTGAAAGCACCGACAATTTCAACTGGGGTGTGAGAAGGAGACCATTGAGCCAAGGCGAGGATGAGCAAGGAAACGTGAAACAGTTGGAAGATAGTTTTAGTGAGAAAACACCCGTACTGACTGGGAGAAAGGTACACAACTGTCCATTCAATCATAATGTGAGTCCTTGTTTTGTTCTGTTGGTAGTTGGTTTGTCGTTTAATTTTGATGTATGTGTTCTAGCTTAGCCGAAGGGTAAGTTTTCTGGAATTACATTGCTTTTTGTATAAGTTGTTAATTTGAGATAGCAAGATTCCATCAATGTCAAGGTTAGCGTTCACGCAACTATTGCGTACTATAGCTGGGTATTTCTCAACAAATTTAGAAATTTCATTTTGCATTCCTTAAACAAACAAATAATGAAAATATATCATTTTTTGCAGAAATATAAAGTTTTACTTTGGCGAGGTTCATCGATAATGAAGGTCCTCCATATTTTTGTGTTTAACATGTAGAAAAATGACTTTTAAAAAACTATGAAATCAGGGAATGACTGATAGAATGGGGGAATGATTTTTACAACAATTTGATGCTTAATTTCAATAAAAAACTTAAGTTAGTTTATTAGTGGATGTATTGAGATTTGTTTTATACTTTAGAGAGCTTAGATAGTGATTCTGCCCTGGCCACATCCTCGTATTTCCATCCTTCTCTAAGACATGAACAACATCACCCTTAAGTTTCAGCATTTTGGAGCTAACTTTACGAGTACAGTTCTTTTTGTACGTATCGATTTTGAAAAAATGCTTCGATATATATATAGCAATTTGTATCTTTTGTACTAATTGCAGCTTCGACATTTTGTAATATTTGTTCTCTTCCCCATGTTTACTTCCAAGATCTTCACATTCTTGAGGTCCGTTGACAGTGCTTGGCCGAAAATGAGTCTTTTTCTTACAACGTCAGGAACTTGTATATTATTTAAAAGCAAAGACACTTCAGTTGCTGGAGAGTGGGGGTCAGTATTTTTAGTTTTCAATCTCAAACACCTCTTATATTTTTCGCTAAGCCTGACTGCGTTCCTTACTTTATTTTCCAAACTTATAATCTTCGCGTACAGAATATGCGCATTCTACGTCTATTGAGAGCAGACAAATTGTACAGATGGTGCAGGACTTGGTGGGGGTGTGTTTTCAACAATGTGAATTTGTTTGTAATGTAACTCGCTTTTCAATATAAACTTTACTATTTTTTCCGTTGTTTTCGTTTTTGGCTAGTTTCTCTTGCACTCATAGAACTTATTGAATTAACTTAACCTTTACTCTTCTTCTTTAAATACTTGAATCTTTTTTTTTCACGCAAAGCTTCTAAATACTCAGCATTAATTTTTATTTGTTCTCGCCTCTTTCTGTCGTACTCCTTCTTTTCTAATTTCTTTTCTTCTTCACGTCTTCATTTTCCCCATTCTTGATATGATATCTGTTAAAATTGAAAACACATGCTATACAACCTGGAGTTAAACAATAACACTCCAACCACAATTTTATATATGCAAAATCATTCCCTCACTATATTAGAAACTGAGGAAATGACGGATTTGAATAAACGACACCGTAACCAACCTCACCTAAAATTGATTTAGTATTTTGTGAATGCATTTTACTCCTCAAAACAAGAAAAAATCATTAAAACATTCGAAGAGTATAATGACTTACCTTTTGATATAGACAGTGACGTAATGACACAGGGAAATGTAATGTTGTAATTATTGAAATACTTTTTTGCAGCAACTCTTTTCACTATTACTAAATGTTGACATTATTAGCAATATTGCCAAGTTTTAAAAACATAACAGCTGCTTTCAAAGATGGTGTGATCACAAATCGGATATTTATAATGGATAAGGAATGATTTCATTTCAAGGGACATAGTTTAAATAGATTTTTTTATATACATATTTATTTTTTAGTAATGAAAGCTTGACTATACAATCAACACTATTACCAAATATTTTAGTAAAATTCAATTTATAAGAATATGATTGTATATATTTTATTATTATTAATTTCCGACCCAGGGACGAGATGACTTTTAGACTAATAAATTAATCGTATTTTTTGGGGTCAATATATTATCTAAATTTCTGCTTTTAAAATATTAGTGTAGATACTTATTGATATAATAAAAATGTTAAATTGATGAAAAATCCATGCAACTTAGCATCAGTAGCTCAGGACATGAATTTTGAAATTTGCTGAGAATTACCCAGCTACTTGAGCGTGCTAAAACTTTCTAGTATAAACACTAGCTTCGCTTATCTGTTCTCTATCAACAAAGTGTTGTAATTTCTAGCATGGCAAAGGATTTCTCAATGTCAATTTTTTTTACGTTAAGCTCAAGTGTTAATAAAAGCCCGAAAGAAAAACAATTGGTTGGTCGCGAACGTCAGATTTTCGTCTGCTTATGCACAAGGTTAATAAACGATTAAAATACAACTTTCAGCGCTTACTGACAGAGGAATCATCAGATGACGAGATTGGTTCTGAATCGCCTTTGGACGAAATAGCCATTGCTCCAGAATTTGACAACAGCACTATAGAAAGCAGTGCTATGTTCCCACCGTCGTCCTTAGCTCTAAGGGAGGCCACCTCTTCCCAAATTCATTCCAGTGCCAGATCTGATACAAGGTAAGAAATTGCTATCTAAAATTTCACTAAAATAAGGCGGGTAAATTATATCGGAGTTTCATATGTAATTCTTGTTTCAAGACACTGGAGAATATTTTTTTCTAACCGGCTATTTTTTCCAGCGGATCGAGTGCAGGTGATCTGGGCGAAGAAACGCCCTGCAATGCTTCACCAAACATGTCGACTTTGATGAACATTCCAACTTTCTCAAAAAGCGACGTCTTGGAGAACTGGACAACTTATATTCAGTCAAATATGCTGCAGACTCCAGCTAACGCCTTGCAGTTTTTCCACCAATTCCAGAAACTTGTTGCGGTAAGAAAAAAAAATCGGTAATGTGGAAAAGGGAATAGCTTGGTTAATGATTATACAGGGTGTTCCTTAATGATATGCGAATATTTAAGGGTGTGAATCTACATGAAAAATTAATTTTATTTGCCAAATAAACAATATTTTTGAATTCCCCGTTAAATTTAAAACAAATGCGTTTATCCAAATCGGTGGATTGACCGCGGTGGGCCCCAAGAATGGCCACCAAGGTCCCCAGACCTCAACAGCTTAGATTTTTTTTTGTGGAGCTATCTTAAGATGCTAGTGTACACAAGTCGCATTAACACTGTAGAGGAATTAAGAGAAAGAATATTTGCAGCTTGTGATAGAATAAAAAACACTCCAGGGATATTTCCACGAGTGCGCAATTCCATGAGGAGGGCGGAAGCATGCATACTAAGTGAAGGGGGCCATTTTCAATAATTTTTGTAATCATTTCGTTGGTTTTTATGTTATGTTTATGTAGTTAGTTGTTGTTGTTCATTACTCCTAATGTGTTTAATTTTCCAATTAAATTAATAATAATTTTGCAAGTTAGACAATAGAACGGTTTTTATTTTTTTACTCAAAAACGGCGCATCGAAGGAAAACAATTCACGAGAGATCATTTGTTTTAAATTGAACGGGGAATTCAAAAATAATTTCTATTTGGCAAAAAACATTGGCGTACCATTTTTTTCTTAAACAATATCGAAGTCAATACCCGTACGCACGCCACTGTTAAAGCTAAAAATTATTTTTTCATTGAAAAATATGCTACTTTATTAACTTCTACTACGTACTAAATACCAGTAAAATACCTGAAGCGGTTCTGAAAATATTAATTAATTTCTATCTTTTTTTCTAAAACTTCAACACCCCGAGTTTTTGTAAGGAAACATTTTTGGACCATAGTTTATAAAGCAAACTAACATTAATTTTTCATGTAGATTCACAACCCTGTATATGGCATCGGAATATTTGATAATTTATATAAAGTTTGTCTCCGTATTCATTAACCAGTCATGGTTTTAATAGTGATATTGCTTTTTTATACTTGAGGGTTTATTGTGATATAATTTGGGATCCAAATATACAGGGTGTAGAAGATAAGGATCCTATGTATGAGGATCTCAATACCTGTGGGAGATATAGATTAGATTAAGAAAAATCTGCGTTCTTTGGGGTCTATTTACATGCCGGTGAAAAACTTTCATGGCTTACTGAAGTATTTGGGAAAAACTAAAATTTGGCTAAATCGTTTATATTTTTCTGACTTTATTTTGAGGAAAGAAAAAACTAAAGAAACTTTTTTATTGGCACTTTTCGGCACTACATGATGATGTTTTTAAATTTTGTGCCTGATCATCAACTTTATTTTTTTATGTTCCGAAAAAAGTATACCCTGTATGTAATAGCATTTTTCTATATGAATTCAACGATACATCACGTTGCATTTATTTTCTTAGGTATAAAGAAAAATGTGTATTTTATGTTATTTAAGTAGACGTTGCAAACAAATGCTTGATGTAAATTTATATTATTACAAAAACGGGAATTATCTCTAAGTCCAATCTGTCTATATTTCAATTATTTAAATACAAAAAAGGAAATTATTTTTATTCGATGGTGGTGCTGCTATAAATAAAACAATTATATAATTCAACTTTTTGACAATTTGTCATGTTAAATATCGTTTTTTATTTAATCTTACAACAAAATATAGGGTGTACCATCCGTTCCTTCTTTTTTTCAATCTAAAAAAAAAACACTGTATGAGTGAGAAACCGAACTCTTTATTGAAAATTGTAGGTCGGCCGTTTATGTATGGAATATAACATCGCACATATATCCACCGCGGCCCCGTTGACATGCCATCATCCGATCATTAAAATTTTCGACGACTTTTTCAGTATTAGCGGGTCCACGGCCGCAATTTCGGTGCGAATGTTGCACTTAAGGTCTTGAATCGTGCGTGGGGCAGTCGCGGATACTTTAATGTTCGAAAATCCCCAGAGAAAATAGTCCATTGGCGTTAAGCCGCACGATCTTGGAATTTCTCGAAATCATGCGATCTGTAAATTTCTCGGCCAATAACTGGATTGTTTGGCGAGCAGTCTGCGAAGTTGTACCGTCTTGCTGAAACCAAAGGTCGTTGGCATCAATACCTTCCAATTTCGGCCAAAAAAATCCGTTATCATACCACGATAACGTTCGGCGTGACCGTAACGGGTTTTTCTTTTTCATCCTCGAAAAAGAACAGTCCATTGATGCCACCAGCCCATAATCCGCACCAAACAGTTACTTTTTGATCATGGAGAGGTTGTTCATGTATCTCGTGTGGATTTTTCGAACCCCAAATCTTATAGTTTTGCTTATTTGCGTGGCCACTGAGGTAAAATTGTGCCTCGTCTGAACAGATGATTTTAGCGTAAAATCCCTCTCATTTTTCAAGCATCCAATTAACAAAAATTCTCCGTTTGCTGATGGTCTGCTGGCTTCAATTGTTGAGTTAGTTGGATCTTGTTTGGGTGTAGGTGGAGATCAACATGCAAAATCCTCCATAATGTTGTTGGCAATTCTTGCGAACGGTGTCTTATCGAAGTTGATGGCTGTTCAAGAACACTTTCACTCACAGCGGCCACTGATTCACATGTACGTACCGGACGGGTATGTTGATATGTTCTACGACCTTCAACTGAGCCAGTTTCCTCAAAACGATTGATAAAATTCACCGAATTCCACGCTCTGTGGGACGACTATGTCGACCAAATTCATCACGAAGTTTGCGAAATGTACTTTTTAAAGATCGTCCGTTTTCGTAATATTTTTGGACGACCAAAATGCGTTCTTGCGTTGTTTTTTTTATACTCCAACTACCACGAAGGCCTAAGGCCTAAGCACCCATTGGGTACTGTGTGGCTATAGGGGGATACATGGGAAAGGGGGAACGCCACACGCACTCTGGCGAGGGAACACGTGTGCATGCAACATGCACACATTCTGGCTCCGCCTACGAGATCCGCCGGGTGGTACCTCCGCGTTCGACAGTCAGAGACCATCTACCACCTACGGGGGGGAGTATTAAATAATCCATAATAACAAATGGCAGACCTTTGACAGTTCATATGTGCTAAACACATGGCAGTTGACACATCCAACATGTCAACAAATGGTAGTTGAAAAAAATAAGCAATAGATGGAACACCCTAAGTAGTAGTGCTAGTAAAAAGCCTCTATAATTTTAGGACGTATGCTTGGCAGCAAATGACATCACAAAGGAGTCCTGCACGTACATGTCGCAGACATCAATCAGTAGTCAGCCAACCATCAAACTGATTGGATCCCGACTCATGTCGATGATCGACATCATCAACTATCGAGTATTGCCTTTCAATATCATTTGGTTCAACACTCTCGCGATCAGCAACTCCAAATTCATAGAGTCACTAAAGTATGGTATGCTAGAGGTACAGGAGCACTTGGAAACGTTCTGTGATAAGAAGCAGCAAGCTAGTATGGTAATTTGCTAGTGTAGATGTGGTTCGATAAAAAATTACGCTGATCTGAGATGTATCATTTATATTTTTCTTCTGTAATATATGGCATAGTATTTCCAATGCTACGGACGATAGTAGAAAAGATATCTACCTAGCCATGAATCAAAAGACGTACGATTATTTTGATAATTCTATTTTTCAATATAATCCCCCCTACATCAGTGCACTTTCATTATTTCCCCTCCAGTAAACATTATAAACCCTTATTAAAATAATGTTTTCTCTTAACCTCGTCGACGGCTGGCTTTTAGGCCATCATCTAAGTCAAAATGGCGCCTTCGGAAGATTTTTATTTAGTACACTAAAAAGAAGAGGAGAGAAGTTGGATACCTGCACAATTGGTCTAATTGTGGTAGCCTTAAGCACGGTCGCATTGACAGAGAAACACTTCTCGATTGAAAAAATTAGTTCTTTTCTGGATGATTGCTTTACGTAAATTTTTCAGCGTGTTCGTATTGAAATCCGTATTTATTGTTGCCCTTTTGGTGTATATTCAATAAGAAAGATGCTCTCTATGTCCCAAAAAAATATTGCCATCAACTTCTCATTTTATGAACCGCGACTGATTCTGTTTTTGTCTCAGCATCCCGATGATGCACCTAAGTCTCGTCACCTGCCACAATTTGTACCAAAACTCAGAATCGTTGTTCACAGTTTGCGAATGACTTTCTGAAATTTCCAACCTGGGCAATTTTTGTTCAGGTGTGAACAGTCGTGGAAACCACCTGGATGACACCTTACCCATGTTCAAACTGTCATGCAAGATAGTTATTGCTCTGGATTCCGATATATTTAATACTAATGGTAGAGACCTTCACACGACGATCTTCGGGAACCATAGCTTCAACTTTTTCATTCATTCCATCATTTGTTGCGGTTTTGGGACTTCAACTTCTGAGATCGTCTTTTATGGATTCACGCGCCCATCGACTAAAATTTTATGGTGAATCATCCCCATAGACGGCAACCATTCTCAGAATTTTTTTCGGCTGATGGCCCTCTTTTGTCAGAAATTTTATGACATTATGATGATTTTAAGTTACTCATTTTTCCACACAATTTTGTTTATAAATTGGAAACTGATCATCACAATTATACCCTATTTCACGAGTATCCATCATGCTTTGACGTCTACTGATGTGAACAGCTGATCAGCAAGTGACATTTTTGTGTTAGTCTGCAACGTTGGCTGTAATGAATCGGGTGTCAATCTAGCAAAAATGTGTTGTAGCGTTTTGTTTTTTATTATTTAAATAAAAGACCTGTTAGCAAGTACAAAATGAATCTGTAGCATACAAAAAACGAAAACAAAATATGGATCTGTCTACCTGGTATTGACAGATAATGTCAGATATGGAGAATTTTGAAATATCACTAGATAACCATGTCATTCTACCGCGATGGATACTCGTGAAATTGGAATTTTGCAAGTTAGGTTAGAACACACGCCACTAATTTGACATATTATGCTTGTGTTTCAATTGTATTTTCATGGCTGGATAGGTTTATTTTCTAGTGTCTCTCGTAATTGAAACTAACAAAAAAGCAGGGCCCTCATAAAAATTGTGGCATTCTATATAAATAGGTGGTATGACAGGGCATAAAACCTGACGTTTAAAACAACTATTTGACATCTGGAATATTAAACTCTGTTTTTTATGCGGTTTCTATTGTAATAAAATACTACATCTTTAATATGGCACCACATCATATTGTTCCTTCGATTTCATAAAAAGATAGCAGCAGGTTACTAGCTTTGATAAAAAAACTTACTCATTACTCTCTCACTATTGGGATAAATAGAGCGACATAAATTGGACAATGAAGAGCTTTAGTATCAATACATTTTTTCGAATTTTTTATTCATATAAGACTCATTGACACTGAAAGTTATGAGATCAGCTTCATTTTTTATTGAACTATGCCCCTGCTGGGTGTCCAAATTCATATTTAATCATTTTAGTACTGCGATGCTGTGAAGACAACACTAAAGCTAGAAAGACTGAGCGGACCGCAATCCGAGTATCAACATGAGCAGTATTTGCTAGATTTGGCTAAAGCGCTTTACAAATTGTATTTTCAGCTACTATTATTAGTCGAAGCTGGTAGGAAGGCCGTGCTGATGCTTCATAGTAGTCTCAAATCCGCAGATGTAAGTACCATCCCAACATTTTAGTTGAAAATTACATAGCAATTAACCTGCGTGGTACATTAACAATTCTGGGTGGGTTTTTGCGTTTTTTGGAGGGCTTTTGGCGTTTTTGGGACGATGGACGCGGGTGACGTGTCTGGTACAATAAACAATAAAAACGACACAGCCTCATGGTCGCTTGTCATTTGGGAAGGCTTGTTGTATATCTGCATGCAGTGACTACTGTCCCTCTCATTTCAGTTCAAAGATGTTACCGGAGACGTAATAAACATTCGCAACGCCCTCTTGCGGGCATATGAAGACACCGACGCAGATGGTGGAATCGCATCTGCCTTGAGTGGCGCCGTCAGTTCCGAAAACCTCCTCTCGAATATCTGCAAGCTTATTGAAAACGAGAAGTGGATCTCTGTCATCCTTTACTTCAAGGTCAACAAAGAGGAGTTTGTCAAGGAGTTTGAGGAGTTGTGCGATAAGGACAACGATCTCAATTCCATTTTGAATATTTATTGCAAGAAGTTGGTTCAGGAGAAACCTGGTGAGTTTTTCATAATGTTAATATAGGATGGCTTGTCATCAGTACCTTTGAGGCCCTAAAAGTTTGCTTTTTCGAAATCTGACGGGAATTCTCAGTCAGGATCGTTTCCTACGCTCAAAATGTTTATTTTTCAAACGCTATATAATTTTTATCTTGCATATATATTGTAGCAATAGTCCCGGACATGGTGACTTTGTCATGTATCGGAAAGTAGCGTATAGTCGAGGAATTTTAAAAAATCGAAACGTTTGAACGAAAAGGAATAAATGAATTAAAAAGCCTCTATCTAACTGTCTGATGTATGGGCTTTATCACACAAAAATCTTAGGTACGTAGCTCCGTTATCTTTGGAGGAGATAGAAATTGAACAGCACGTTTGAGATCCAAAACAGGCCAATATTTCGACGTTTGAAAATTGTTTATTCTAAACGGGTGCCCCAAACGGAAAAAACTCTTTATCTTTTCAGGTTTTTATTTGAAAATTCCTAGAATAAAAACTAAGATTTGATCAAAAGCGGACCCGGAAAATCCGAAACGCCCATTATTCGACTTCAACAGCCGTTTTGACGCGTTCATCGTCCTCGTACCTCGACAGTTCGTAGTCGCTCGTAAAGCGCCGAGTATGTAGTTTCCGAAACGGTATCGTTTTACGATAAAACCTTTCGCGAACCATTAAAAAAAATCGGAAAAACCGCGCCGATGTCGACAAAAAAAAAGAAGATCAGAGCTAAAAATACTAAGTGACATATAAATCCGAACACCCAGTTTAAATGGTTTTATTTTAATAAAATTTTGTATAAGTACTTAATGAAGCATAATAAGTAAATGATAAAAATTTCAAAATGATTGCACTGCTTTAAAGCCCTTTGACCTTTAATAATGTGTGGATGCACCCTGATGTGCTACGCATTCTCCAACGCGCCTAGGCATGCTTCTGATCAGGTGGTCAATGTCCTCCTGTGGTATCTCATTCCAGGCAACCACCAACTCCTCTCGAAGTGCTTCTAGAGTCTGAGGAGGACGTTGCAAATTGAGCAATCTCCTACCCATCATATCCCACACGTGCTCAATTGGGGATAAGTCGGGAGATCTTGGTGGCCATGGTAACAATGTGACATCATTATGTTGAAAGAAGTCTATTGTGACTCTTGCAACATGTGGTCGGGCATTATCTTGTTGGAAAGTTGGATCTGCCAGGGTGTCAAGATAGGGTAAAAGATGGGGTTCTAGAACTTCGTGGATATAACGCTGCGCGTTCATGTTACCTCTGATGAAGATTAAAGGTGACCTGGAACCATAAGCTATAGCACCCCAAACCATAACTCCAACAGTGTGATGAACATGTCTTTCAACAAAAAAACTGTGGATTCCTCCTTTCACCACGTCGCCTTCTAACCCTGGCACGACCATCGTGCATGCCTAAACAAAATCGAGACTCGTCACTAAAGACAATACTGTTCCATTCCTGATCCCAGAGTGACCGTTGTCTGCACCACTCAAGGCGATTACGTCGGTGTTCTCGAGTTAAAGGGAGGACCCAGTGTGGCCGGTATGAAAACAAGTCAAAACTTCTCATTCGTCGGTAAACACTTCGCATGCCAATAGGTCTTCCGTGTTCTGCAAACCATTAATTTGCAATGGACCTGGTAGTGGAGAAACGGTCCCTTAAGGCCAATAATCTTAGGCGGCGATCTTCACGGTCTGTTGTTCTACGGCGGCGTCCAGTGCCCCTTGCTCTTTGCGTACGGCCTTCTCGAAGCTAACCACAGTGTCTACACTTCTTTGCACTCTAACTGCAATTGCCCGAAAAGAAAGTCCAGCTTCCCGAAGTCCTACTATACGGCCGCTATCAAACTCACTAAGTTCACGAAATCGTACAGGTCTCCGTACTCTAGGCATCGTAACCGATCGTAAAGGATGTCAAGAACCAAAATCTGCCAACGTTGATTCTTTACTGCGGCTGAAATATTCATTTTTAGAGCGTTAGTGAATTAAAAAAAAAACAGTATAAAACCGGAATGTCCAACTGATAAGGCTGAACATTTTTTCACTTGTTATTTACAGTAAGATAAATACATTCACCAACTTTTATTAAAATAAAACCATTTAAACTGGGTGTTCGGATTTATATGTCACTTAGTATATTATCGATGATTTGTATCATGTATTTAAAGTGATCAGAATTAATTCATTTTTTATACAAAATAAGAGTTAAGAATCTTTAAGACTAGTTGAAAACGTCAGTATCGGTTCAACATATAGAGCGATGCGACATAGGGACTAATGCCTGAATATTCGTGGATCCGTGAGGCTTGAGGGGTGACACAGGGGAAGGTGGGACAAGAACGCTAGCGCGAGAACACATGTGCATGTGACATGTAAATATTCTGGCCTCACGTAAGAGATTTACTAGGTGGTACCTCCTTGTTCGACGGTCCGGGATCGTCTATCACCTACGGACTATCACATCCTTAGCCGACATAAAAATTCAGTTGGGACGGGATTGGCACCCGCGAAGCTCACGGCAATTTGGTTCGTAGTCGCTTAACGGACACCGGGCTACTGGATTGTTGCTTTGCTCAAGAATTGCTTGTTTTCAAAAATGCTCACGATTTTTCAGTTCATGTTGATTTACTTTCGAAATGTAACTTAGTAACTGAAGCACCTAGATATATTTAGTGTCATATTTATTTTCAGAATGCTTCGTGATAACCAACCAAGAGTCTGAACTAGGTGACGTCTTCGGAAGATTATTCCAAGTATCTGCAGCCATATCTGACTTGGAAGGTGGTATGAAAGAACAGCCGAGCAAATCGTCTGAGCCGCAGAGCAAATAAATTTCATTATTTTATCTGTGTTATTATACTTTAAATGTTAATCTCATGCCTAACTGTAAGCCTCATTATATTCGTATTTATGCCTAATTGATTATACGATATTGAAACAAACATAATTAAAATAAACATATTGGTTGATATTTTCGCAGCATCATTATAAAATAGTTCGATACCTCTTGCCACTTCTGCGATCCTGATACAGATCTATAGATTTCTAAAAATCGCACAGTTGACCAAACCTTTCTCGTAAAATTGGTCGACGACGAGTTGGTATCAGGATCACAGAAACGCGAGGAGGTATGCAAATCGTACTCTACTCCTGCTTTGAGATGAGCAGGAAATGTAAATCAACGGAATTGATACCTCTTGCCGTTTCTGCGATCCTGATACAGATCTATAGATTTCTGAAAATCGCACTGTCGATTAGACTTTTCTTGCAAAATTGGTCGATGACGAGTTGGTATCAGGATTACAGAGACGCGAGGAGGTATGCAAATCGCACTCTGCTTCTGCTTTGAGGTATGCACGAAATTCAAATCCACGGAATTGATACTTCTTGCTATTTCTGCGATCCTGATACGGATCTATAAATTTCTGAATATCGGACTGTCGACTAGACTTTTCTCGTAAAATTGGTCGAGGGCGAGTTGGTATCAGGATCACAGAGACGCGAGGAGGTACGCGAATCGTACTCTGCTCCTGATATGACATAAGCACGAAATTCAAATCAGTGGCATCGATACCTGTTGCCGTTTCTGCGATCCTGATACGGATCTATAGGTTTCTGAAAATTGCACCGTCGACGAGACTTTTCTCGTAATATCGGTCGACGACGAGTTGGTATCAGGATCACAGAGACGCGAGAAGGTATGCAAATCGCACTCTACTCTTGCTTTGAGATACGCACGAAATTTAAATCCACGAAATTGATACCTCTTGCCATTTCTGCGATCCTGATACAGATTAATGAATTTGTGGAAATCGCCCAGTCGACCAAACCTTTCTCATAAAATTGGTGGACAACGAGTTGGTGTCAGGATGACAGAGACGTGAGGAGGTAAGCAAATCGCACTCTGCTCCTGCTTGCCGTTTCTGCGATCCTGATACAGATTAATGAATTTCTGGAAATCGCCCAGTCGACCAAACCTTTCCATGAAATTGGTCGACGACGAGTTGGTATCAGGATCACAGAGACGCGAGGAGGTATGCAAATCATACTCTGCTCCTGCTTTGAGATGAGCAGGAAATGTAAATCAACGGAATTGATATCTCTTGCCGTTTCTGAGATCCTAATACAGATCTATAGATTTCTGAAAATCGCATTGTAGATTAGACTTTTCTTGCAAAATCGGTCGCCAAAGAGTTGGTATCAGGATTACAGAGACGCGAGGAGGTATGCAAATCGCACTCTGCTTCTGCTTTGAGGTAAGTACGAAATTCAAATCCACGGAATTGATACCTCTTGCTATTTCTGCGATCCTGATACGGATCTATAAATTTCTGAATATCGGACTGTCGACTAGACTTTTCTCGTAAAATTGGTCGAGGGCGAGTTGGTATCAGGATCACAGAGACGCGAGGAGGTACGCGAATCGTACTCTGCTCCTGATATGACATAAGCACGAAATTCAAATCAATGGCATCGATAACTCTTGCCGTTTCTGCGATCCTGATACGGATCTATAGGTTTCTGAAAATTGCACCGTCGACGAGACTTTTCTCGTAATATTGGTCGACGACGAATTGGTACCAGGATCACAGAGACACGAGAAGGTATGCAAATCGCACCCTACTCTTGCTTTGAGATGAGCAGGAAATGTAAATCAACGGAATTGATACCTCTTGCCATTTCTGCGATCCTGATACAGATCAATGAATTTCTGGAAATCGCCCAGTCGACCAAACCTTTCTCATAAAATTGGTGGATAACGAGTTGGTATCAGGATGACAGATACGTGAGGAGTTAAGCAAATCGCACTCTGCTCCTGCTATGGGATAAGCACGAAATTCAAATCCGTGGCATCGGTACCTCTTGTCGTTTCTGCGATCCTGATACTGATTAATGAATTTCTGGAAATCGCCCAGTCGACCAAACCTTTCTCATGAAATTGGTCGACGTCGAGTTGCTATCAGGATCACAGAGACGGGAGGAGGTATGCAAATCATACTCTGCTCCTGCTTTGAGATGAGCAGGAAATGTAAATCAATGGAATTGATACCTCTTGCCGGTTCTGCGATCCTGATACAGATCTATAGATTTCTGAAAATCGCACTGTCGATTAGACTTTTCTTGCAAAATCGGTCTACGACGAGTCAGGATTACAGAGACGCGAGGAGGTATGCAAATCGCACTCTGCTTCTGCTTTGAGGTAAGAACGAAATTCAAATCCACGGAATTGATATCTCTTGCTATTTCTGCGATCCTGATACGGATCTATAGATTTCTGAATATCGGACTGTCGACTAGACTTTTCTCGTAAAATTGGTCGAGGGCGAGTTGGTATCAGGATCACAGAGACGCGAGGAGGTATGCAAATCGTACTCTACTCCTGCTTTGAGATGAGTAGGAAATGTAAATCAACGGAATTGATACCTCTTGCCGTTTCTGCGATCCTGATACAGATCTATAATTTCTGAAAATCGCACTGTCGATTAGGCTTTTCTTGCACAATTGGTCGACGACGAGTTGGTATCAGAATCACAGAGACGCGAGAAGGTATGCAAATCGCACTCTACTCCTGCTTTGAGATGAGTAGGAAATGTAAATCAACGGAATTGATACCTCTTGCCGTTTCTGCGATCCTGATACAGATCTATAGATTTCTGAAAATCGCACTGTCGATTAGGCTTTTCTTGCACAATTGGTCGACGACGAGTTGGTATCAGAATCACAGAGACGCGAGAAGGTATGCAAATCGCACTCTACTCTTGCTTTGAGATAAGCACGAAATTTAAATCCACGAAATTGATACCTCTTGCCATTTCTGGGATCCTGATACAGATTAATGAATTTCTGGAAATCGCCCAGTCGACCAAACCTTTCTCATAAAATTGGTCGACGACGAGTTTGTATCAGGATTACAGAGACGGGAGGAGGTATGCAAATCGTACTCTACTCCTGCTTTGAGATGAGTAGGAAATGTAAATCAACGGAATTGATACCTCTTGCCGTTTCTGCGATCCTGATACAGATCTATAGATTTCTGAAAATCGCACTGTCGATTAGGCTTTTCTTGCACAATTGGTCGACGACGAGTTGGTATCAGAATCACAGAGACGCGAGAAGGTATGCAAATCGCACTCTACTCCTGCTTTGAGATGAGTAGGAAATGTAAATCAACGGAATTGATACCTCTTGCCGTTTCTGCGATCCTGATACAGATCTATAGATTTCTGAAAATCGCACTGTCGATTAGGCTTTTCTTGCACAATTGGTCGACGACGAGTTGGTATCAGAATCACAGAGACGCGAGAAGGTATGCAAATCGCACTCTACTCTTGCTTTGAGATAAGCACGAAATTTAAATCCACGAAATTGATACCTCTTGCCATTTCTGGGATCCTGATACAGATTAATGAATTTCTGGAAATTGCCCAGTCGACCAAACCTTTCTCATAAAATTGGTTGACGACGAGTTGGTATCAGGATCACAGAGACGCGAGGAGGTATGCAAATCGTACTCTACTCCTGCTTTGAGATGAGCAGGAAATGTAAATCAACGGAATTGATACCTCTTGCCGTTTCTGCGATCCTGATACAGATCTATAGATTTCTGAAAATCGCACTGTCGACCAGACTTTTCTCGTAAAATTGGTCGACGACGAGTTGACATCAGGATCACAGACACGCGAGGAAGTATGCAAGTCGCACTCTGCTCCATCTATGAGATAAGCACGAAATCCAAATCCATGGCATCGATACCTCTTGCTGTTTCTGCGATCCTGATACGGATCTATAGGGTTCCGAAAATTGCACTATTGACCGGACTTTTCTCGTAAAATTGGTCGACGACGAGTTGGTATCAGGATCACAGACACGCGCGGAGGTATACAAATCGCACTCTGCTCCTGCTTTGAGATAAGCACGAAATTCAAATCCATGGCATCGACACCTCTTGCCGTTTCTGCGATCCTGATACAGATATCGCCCTGTATAGGGCACTGATAGCAGCTGTCCCGTAATTTCGATCCGGAAAATTTTTTAGACGAAAAGCGAGATAACCGAGGTGTTTAATATGGAAACTGACCCAGGGGGGTCAGGAAATGGCGCTTCCACCATGGCAATGGAGATGGAGCCGAAGGAGCAGACCATAGAGGAGCTGAGAGCCGAATTAGAGATGGTTCGACAGGAGCTGTCAAAAAAGGACGATGATAAGAAGACCAATGAAAGATTGATGATGATCATCGAAGCCCAGCAGCGGACAATTACTGACCTAACAGTTAAATTAGACCTCCTACTGAAAACCCAGGTACCTTCCCATCTAAATATTACAAATTCTTCCCAAACACTTCCCAAAAATCCCAGTAAAGACAAAGCTGTCAATCTTAAGAGACCGTTAAATAACTCAAGCGATCTTTCCACAGACGACGATACACTCCCTGACGGTTTTACCAAGGTTAAGCCCCGTAAAACGCGACGAAACAAGACCGACACGACAGGCTTTCCTCCTCTCCCTTCACCAAAATCGCAGTCTGAAACATCTCATTCAACTGCAAGCGACTCGAATAAACAGCCTGTGCCTAATCTATCGGATACTTCCACGCCTTCGACATCTCAGGTACCAGAAGACACGACTGCACAGCCCCCACGCAAGGTACGTGTTACCCCCATCGTTCTTCGTGATGCTTCGAGATGGCGAGGCGTAAATCACAAGTTTATTTCCTTGGGCATCAAATTCGAACGCGCGGTTGCCGTCGATGCGGGAATCAGGATAATTCCCAAGTCCGAGGATGATTACCGCAGGATTATTCGTCTCTTCAGGGAGGAAGAGGTGCCCCATCACACTTTCCCTCTACCCTCCGAGAGGAACATTCATGCTGTAATCAGAGGAGTACATGCGACACTTTCGGAAATTGAGATCAAGGAAGAGTTGCAACAGAGGGGATATTCCCCCCTGCACATAATTCGCCTGAAACGCGG